GCACCCATGCTGGAACCCCTTGGCCCACAAGGGGAACAGCAGTGGCATTGCCCATCGTGCCCAGCTTATGGGGATGGGCTCCTCAGTTGCAGTAATTGCACAGCCCTGCCCCTGCCACATCCCAAAGCCTGCACATGATGCTCTTCTCTCTGCCTTCCCTCTCACACTGTGTACACAAGCAGCACTCACTCAGAGGATGGGGATCCTTTGCTCCACAGGGAGCTGCTCACAGAGCTGCACCCACACTCCTTCCCCAGTGCACGTTGGCTATCTGCTACAGGGGAAGCAGACCTGTACGCAGAGGATGCAGTGCCCCTCTTTATCTTTGAACCCCTCCATAGGCAATGAGTTTTACCACCTTCTACCGAAGAATCAGAAGCCTCACTGCAGGCATGGAGCCATCACCCAGAGCAGGGATTTACTGCCAGTGCATCCAATCCTATAGACATAACGATGAGTCTTCCAGCAGTGTGGTGCTGAGGTACCACAAGCTAAATCCAGCAAGTCTCCCACGTCCTTAGAGATCTCTGCACATCTACTATCAAAGGTCAATAACATGGCGTGACCATGTTTATCTGCCTCAGAAAGGCTTTGTAACCTGTGTGCACAACTGTATCTCTGTTGGACATCAGCATGCCACTGGCGCCTGGACTTCCAATTTTGGAGCCGGTTCACAGATGCCTTTATCACCTTACTGGAAGGGCTCTAGAAAATCAGTACCAGAAGTTTTCACAATGCCCCAGAAGCTGAACTCCCAGACTGACTACCACCACAAACTCACTTTTCCTTGGCTGTCATAGGTGGGTTCCCTCTAAGTGGGCTGAATGTCACCAGCCTTCTCCTTTGGCGTCAGCAGTCCCTTTGCATTGCACTGAGGATTAGACACCTACACAAGGCTGTGGCGTCCACTGCAGGAGCCAGACGTGCCCAAGTCAGACCTTACAGATCCCTGACTCACCCCCAGAGCCCTTTCATGCATGTAGCTGTAAATAACTAATGCAAGTTTACACTACAGTGATGGAGGGATTTAATCTTCAGAGATGTAAAAAGTGCATCCAAACCACAGAACCCTACTTGTTACTCAGACAAGAAGTTTCTTAGGGAAGCTGCTCCTCATAATCATTAGTTTTGATTCACTTGCCCTTTTTCATTACACATTTGCCTCCACGTTGCCCCACTGTGCAAGCACCAAGATGTTCACAGCAGCCTGCTGATAGCAGGAGCTTTCTCAATGCTTCCCACCTCCATTGCATCACACCAAGTACTTCAACCCAAGCAACACAGGTGCAGCAAAGCAAACAAGTCATGCCTGAGGCCTCACACACGGGTGGCACTTTCATTGCCTAACAAAGGGCCAGGGGCTGGAGTGCTGTAAGCATGCAGGTGTGTGCACAAGACAGCCACAGAGAGGCAGCCTGAATGGCTGCACAGTGGCAGAGGGCCACAACTGGTATTCTTCCATGAAGCCCAGCCTGTCTGTGCAAAGAAGTACAGATCGTCTGCATGCATGGGACCCAATGGCCTTCACCAGGCTGGACTCTGGCAGTGTGAAAATCCACGCTGATCCAACCAGTGCTGAGCAGCCCAGAGGATCAGACACATGTAACTGCTCCCATAGTTGCAGCACATGGGATCACGGCTGCTGAACACAGTAAACTCTTCATCCCCCAGGATCTGTATAATGTTTTCTTCTTTCTTTTTTCTGCCCAGAAAACTGTTCATTTGAAGGGTTTGGGACCTTCTTCATTTTTTTTTTTTTCCCCTCCTTTTTGGAAGATTCTAAAGCTTTATCCACGTTTTGAACTTAAGCCTATCTGTTTCTGCCATGAAAAAAGCCATGGGGAAGAGAGACACACGGCAAGCTGCTTTCTCCCACCTGGCCATACTGGGAAAAGGAGAGATGGAAGCTTTGCTTCCTCTACTACTTTTCCTCCAGTGACCACAAAGGGAATCAAATGGTGACAAGTACAATAAATAAATGCAATCATCTAAAACAGAAATTGAAGAGAAGGAAAAAGTGCTACTCAAACCAAGCGTAGCTCATGAAGATCATTCAGCACTGAAAAGTATCAGATGTCAGCAATCTGCTAATTCCTATTTCAGAAGAAAGACTTATTTTCCTCAGAATGTTTCAACCTGTCTTGGATAGAAAACAAACAGCGTGCAAAGCCACTTGCCAAAAACATTTCTGCATTCCAGAAGACATCATATTGGTGGGTGTCAGTGCACCTGACATTACAGCCTCATACTGCTGCAGGAGGTACAATTTCACCAATGTTTACACTTCAGTAAAATGAAAGACAAGTGGATTTACTGAGAGACAAAGCCAATGCCAAACCTCAGATGTTCTAGTTCTAGTCCAGTCTAAGACTCCAGAAAAAAGAACAACAACAACAAAAAAAGCATTAATAAAAGACATTTATCCTCTAAGTTTAGTTAAAAAAAAATAGAACAGCCCACTACACAGCAGTCTGCAGTACTGCTGGACTCCATGAAGGAATGTCCTCCTTGACATTCACCCTTGGGAAGCCCAGCAGCAGTGCTGTGCTCAGGCTGCCTCTGTGAGCTCCACAGAGTGCCACCAGCATGGCTTTGTGCTGAACAAAGCTTTGTTAGCTCAGCTCTACTCTTCCTCCCCAGCAACTGAACTAGGAATTATGGTCCAATCCAAAGTACCTGTCTTGCCAGAAACTACTGCTCATTTAGGTGCAAGGGCTTCTGAAAAGCTTTCCAATGGTCAATCAAATGGTGAAGGACTGAGCAGCCAGTTCACTATACTGGAGTTATGAAACTGTGCTGACAAACACGAGTTCCGAGCTGCCTTCAATGAAGTTACTCAAAAGTGATAAACTTTTGAGTTCATGCACGTGCACATGCATGTAGCAAATGACACCAGAATGATGGGATGCCAACAGTTACCCATGCACATTCCTGTTCTCAAGTAGAAAAATGACAGCTAGTTTTAGTTGGTAAAGAAAGAAGTTGAAACATAAGGAATGAAACATGTAGAGTAGAATCACCCTTCAGATCCAAAGACAGCACACAGCCCCGATGGTTTCCACCTGCAGCATGGCAGGGTGGATTCTCACATCTGTGTTTGTGCCAGCTGCAGTCCAACCTGCAAACAAACAGCACAGCCCTCAGCTCCAAGAGTGCAGGTCAGTGATTCTTTCACAAGATACAAACACTGCACACAAGGGACACGCGTGGCGATGCTCTCTGCTCATCTCTAATCAGCTTACAGTAGGTCAGTTTCCCACTGAACAAACCAGCAGCTCAGCAACCAGCAATAGTGAGAGGAGCAAACAGGCAAGGCACTGCTGTGAGTCACTACGTGAGCCAAGGATGAAGTTCTGCACTTATCTGCACCTTCCTGCACATCTCTCTGCTGCTCTGCTCTTTTCCCTCTCTCCTTGACTGAGGTTCTCGCAAAAGAACCAGAGAAGCAGCACACTTTTGCAGTCAAACGTATCCCAGAATACAGCCACAATTACTGAAAGCATCCTAACATGTTGCAGCCATCTTCCCTCGTGCACTCTCCCATATTTGCACCCCTGCCCTATTTCTCCATTCGCTGGAATAGGAAGCAATTCACCGTTTGCACTGCCCACAAGCTAGAAAATCACCAGATCTAGGCTGAGTCACATGGATCTCTGACTCTGATAAGCTTCTTTTCCAGTCTGAAGACACACACACAGGCTGACTTACTGTTTTCCCATGCTTATCTGCAGGATGCTTATTGCAACATACATAAAATTAATCCATCTTAAAAAATAACTTTCGTATCTTGAAGTTCTGATAACATGCATGCAGAGCAATGAGACAATTATTCCACTGTATGTGCCACTACTAGTATTCTACTACACAGGTATTTTTATCATAAAGGACTGAGAAGTGCATATCCCTAAACATTTGATTTAGTTGCTTAAGGACTGGTCTTTCTTCAGATTAAAGCAGCAGAGCTGTGACTGTTTTCCTATCCACTTAACAGAATTCTTTTTGATCTATAAGAAACACATTCCAAATAACAGTTTTAGTTGAATTTCCATTCAAATTCAGCAACATCTCTTTTTACTACTGACAATCCCAAAGTCACAAGCAGAAACACTGAGTGCACTTTCTGATGGGTTTCTGGAACATGACTTTTTGGCCACAGTAATTTGAAACTAACAGCTTGTAGGCTCAGATTTGAAAAATACTTACCTCCTCTTCAGTGGTGGCACAACTTTTTTTCAGACAGCATTTTAATTCCAGACTGCAGCACTTTAGCATCACTCCCCAAAGGCCAGGTTTTAAATCTTTAAACTGTTCCATAAACTTCTTTTCATTCATCTTCAAATGCCACCAACTTCTCCCACAGTAACACACCGACTGTTTCTCCATCAGAGTGCCAACAAGGCAGGTACCCACCTCCTCCATCAGATATTTACAGCACAGAGCTATGTACAGGACTAGCAGAGAGCTGCAGGTCACAGCTGTAAAAAGATTCTTAGTCCTTTCAAGCTTTGGGTCTCTGCCTTGAAGCACCTTCAAAGGGTGCACATTTCTGATGGAAGCAGTGCCTTCTCTCTAATGACACCTTATACAGATGCTAAAAACATTTCCTCTTAGCCTGCATCTCACACATAAGTTCTATGCATTCTATCTGTGTGTGCACCTCTGGCAATGCCCACAGTGAATACAAGCCTCCATTCCTGCTTTTGTTTACAAAGACCTGCTGTGCCCATTCTTACACCAGTACAGCTGCTCAGCACGGCATGGAGCTTTACGTCCCTGGCTGTTCAGCTTGGCAAGAGTAACAACCATTGCAAGAAAAAAAAACAAAACAACCAGATGTGCAGCTTTACAGGCAGGCAGAAACACCTGGAGAAGAGAATCAGCCAGACAGTCAAAATTCCCCAAAGCAGCCAGTGACAGCAGCCACCCACCGCGTGCCCATCAGCAGTACTGCCGTGCTAGGGAATCACCTCTAGTCTCGCTGAAGTGAGGCACTCTCAAGCTTCTTTGATTCAATGCCTTTATTTGTCTTAAAAATATTCCCAGAGGACAGAGGGACACAGACGTTTTAAAAGTCTTCGTATTCAGTTCTTTCTCTGATCCTTTAAGAGAAAAGAAAAATAACAAAAAACTGTAAATTGAATCTTTTTAATAAGTGCCAACAGTGCTCTCAGCTCTGGTTGGGAGACAGTCCCTGCCCCAAAGAGCTTCCATTCTAAAAGAGAGTAATACAAAGGTGAGGCTCACAGTGAAAATGACAAAGAAGGTGATGTTGCTTGTAATGCTGCTGGTGCCATCCACGGGGACCAGTACATCTTTCTGTGCTGGCCATCATGGAGGCACTGCACACTGCACATGATGGAACATGCTTCCTGCAGTGGTTGGACAGGAGAACATAAAGAAAAATCCAGGAAAGTTTCCAAGGCAGTCCTGTGATAAAGGAGGCATTTCACTTTATGCAACTTTTGTCTATTTACATACTTCAGTCTCTTTTTTCTTAATTAAAAAAGAAGATCATGGCTAACATGTCAAAAGCATTCATCAAATCAACTGCTTTACAAAAATAAAGTTTTTAGACATGTTTCTAAAATAAATATTGATAGAAAAAAATAAATATATGTACACATGCTGTCTTGTTGAAACACACTAAAATACAGCTCTTTACTGAAAAGTAGCCATGGAATCCTGATTAAAGAAGCAAATGTTCAGAGCATTCTTCTCTTACAGAAACACATGTGGTCCCAAGCAGCAAAGGACAAGTTCTTCATTAGAAAAAAATACATAGGACTGTGGTTTTATACTTTCCTAATAAGAATATTTTCATCTCTGCTAAACAAGAGGCCAAAACCAGTGCTCTCTGGTTTCCAAGCAATGAGAAGTTAACAGCTTTTCTTATCAAGGGAGAGAAAAAGAGTAAAGTCTCAGCAGTGAATTTGAGTAACTGTGAACATGTGTGATTTCCCCTGATTGAGGAAAAAAGCTAATCCTTTCAAAAAGGTTGAGCTACTCTCTCTCCCCTTCCCCAGACAAGGGCTCTCAAATATTACTGTATGGAATTGAGACATTATACTTATTGAAAGACAGGGAGCAAGAGGCAGCTCAGCATCAGGCAAGAGACTTTTACTGCTTGGGAGCACAAGCTGCACCACTTTGCTATGGTCCAACATGAAAGCAATGTTTCCATGACAGTCCCTTGCATTTCAAGGGTGGTTCATTGCCCTGAGCTACCTGCTGTCAGGAGTCAGCCTCAGTTTGGCTGGCAGTAGTCACAGTGCTCTAGGTAACAGGAGGCAGGGTACCCTATTCCCCACTCTCATAAGGCAGACATCACTCCAGGAAATCCATTTCCCTCTTGAAGGATTTTTTTTTTTCTTTTCCTTTTTTTGTGGTCCTGCATGTCCTCTTTTTTTTTGTCTATCTATTTAAAAGGAGCAACATGCCTACATTAACAACAGTGGTCAATTAGGCAAAGAATAAAATGTCTGCAGTGCAAGCTCTACATAGGTTTATAGTGTACTGGTCATGCACAAATCCCTACAGGTCCTGGCAGGCATTTAACATTTAAGTTGATGTAAGATCACGTTGGCAATGAAATGGCTGCTGGGTGGACTGCAGCCAGCTCCAAATCACTGGTAGATTCAGCATCTGCCATCACAAGGCTTAAGTCACATCAAATCAGTGGTCGTCTACTTTCGCCCTTTTTGCCTTCAAGGAGAGATGCTGCAAGGAGAGAGAAAAAACACTCAGCATGTGCACCACAATTACAAAAAAGTTCAACTGGAATGCTTCCACTCATTAATCCCAAATTAAAACAAATGCAAACATGTCAGACCACCCTTCCCAAGCCCCTGCTTATCCTTGATACAGCTGAGATAAAGCCATGAAATCAAACAGCCTCCATGCATCCAAAAGTAACATCTTGGCTTGGTGTAAAATATCTTCAGGTACTTCTGTATTAACTCCAAGCACAACAACAACTCAGCACTTGATGCAGCTTGTCAACAGGTAAAAATGCACTGAAGGGTACACATGTTCCCAACACAGACACCAGGAACACGTGCATAAAGAACAAGATTTTAACAAATGCGTCAAGGCTGCAGCTATAGTTTCATTGGACCTTGGAACCTACATGCTCTGAAAGAGCAACATGGAATGAAAACATGAAAATCATCTTCTTAAACCACTGCAGAAGTTGAAAAGAGACAGAATTGTCTAAAAACATAATCAAATTGTAGGAAAAAGTCTTGACAGAGAATCCTGCTCAGGTTCCATTGGTTTTTTTTTGGTTTGTTTTGTTTTTAAACCTGATACAGGAATTCAAACGATCCTATTTCAGGGATACATCAGCAAAAGGATGCATCCTTCAGAAGAAAAAGGGTCTGAATTACAGTACTTTAGCAGTTACCTGTTTATTCAAAAGTTATAACTCCAGTTTCATTTCTGATTTTCAAACACTTTTATCGATACACCTAAGCCTCCTGACTGATGAGGATAACTGGCTAAACCAAAAGAGGTGCTTTCCCTCAAAACTAGCTCTACCTCCAATAACTTTCATCTACTCTAGGATGAAAGTAATGCTTCTGCCCTGTTGCAAGCTAAGTACAACTTTATTGAATCAAAAAGGCTGCAAGCATGAGAATCAGCTTCTGATGTGATCTTGTAGAATATCCACAACAGTCGCAGCACTGCCTTGCAAAAATTGAAGACAACTCTCCTCTTCCAAAAAGCAATTCCAGTTCTGCCTGAATGAGTCACCAAATCACATGTCCCAGCACCACCTATTTAAAGGAAAACCTCACACCACGCTGTAGCCCACGGAGAGGTTATATGATAATAAGATGCTGTGTTACCTATGGGATGTTACAACATGTAAATATGTGAGTCAAAAGGACGAACTGTTCCAGTAGCAGATTTGATACAACAGGAATGCTGCCTCATCATTCATCACCACACCTGCAGAATATATCTGCAGCTAAAGGCTCAAGGATGTATCCTGCAGTCATTACTACCTTTGTCAAAGGCATTAGAGTAAAAGGCAGAAAATATTCAAGTACTTTGAAAAGGTATTTATAGCTGGCAAATGTGTACGCAACTGAGATGAATGATCAAAGCTCAGCATCTATTAAACAAAAAACCTTGCCCAGGTCAATTACACGAACACCAGTGTTCTTATATACTGTAGCCACATGCATACATTTTAAGATGCTCCATGCAGTACAGCATTTTTCTTTTTTCCAAAAACCCCAGGAAGTGAAAGCAAGCAAGCATGAAATTCTTACAGAAGTCCAATAGTGAGACAGATCAAAATACAGATCAGAAACAGTATTTTTTGCAATATGGCTGCTCATATGCTAATAGATCTCTTGTTTTGCATCAGTCTGCTATTCAAGTGCCTGCTTCCCCTCATCATTTTGGAAATAGTCCACTAATTCATAACATAAAGCTCAATAATTATTAATATCTCATGGGAAACTCGCATGCAAGATCAGTTTGGTAATCTTGTCTGTATTTACTTACAATGCAGTATCTGCAGCTTCAGCATGACTAATATTTAGGTAGCATTTATTGCCAATCCAGATCTCTCAATTATCAGAAGGAATCACAGAATCACAGAATAAGGAATAAGGAATAAGACTAAACTGATGAGTTTGCATAGGACAGAGTTGATAAAGAATAGTAGAAACAAAAAGATGGCAACCGTTAAAAGATGAAGAACAGAATCACAGGGTGGTTAAAGTTGGAAGGGAGCTCTGGAGGCCGTCTGGCCCAATCTCTGCTCAAGTAGTGACACCCAGAGAAGTGTGCCCACAACCAGGTAGCTTCTGAAGATCTCCAAGGAGACTTCATAGTGGGCACCTCTGCCAGTGCTCCATCACCTGCACAGCAAACCAGTGCTTCCTGACGTTCAGATGGAACTTCCTGTGATACAGTTTGTACCTGCTGCCTTTCATCCTGGCACTGGGGACAACCAAAAAGAGCCTCACTCAGTCCTCTTTCTGTCCTCCCTTCAGGTTTTTATACACTTTTCTTTCTTCTTCCTCTAAGTATGTATACTGCACAACAGAACTTACAATAAAGGTTGTACAAACAGCAGCTATCCCTTATGTTTCATGCTTTTAACAGATCAGAGGTGACTTTTTGGAGTAGATAATCAAAAACAAAGGGCTTGGGATTTGCACAAACATTTGCAAATGATACAAAGACTCTTGTGAATGATTGTGCAAACTATGACACTGTCAGTCACAGTGATGCTCACAGAAGAAACACCAAATATCCATATTTAAGTGCAGAATAGCTGAAGATTTCATCTTTTGGAGGGCTATGTTGTTCTGTAATTTCTCAGACACATCTGTTGGTTGGATAATAGGGCAAAAAGCTGTCATGCATCAATTTACTATTTTCTTTCTTTACAGTAAAACGCCTAAAATGAAAAAAAAAAAGCCTATTTTTTTTCTACTATTAAATAGATGAAAACAATAACAAAAAAATCACTGCAAAACTCAGATACAAAGCTGTTAACACAGCAGTGGTACCGTTTGGGCTTTATGCCGATTCCGTACCGTTCCTTGCTGGTAAAAATGAGGTGCCAGCTCCACGAGCCATGCAGATTCAATGGCAGTCACATCTCTCATGTAGTACTTGGCAGTCTGTATGACTTCGTTGTACACTACCCTAGGAGAAGGAAAAGAAAAACATGTTTGTGCTGCAAGGAGACAAGGGAGAGAGGTGATTAACACCATATTAAGATACACATACAAGCTGACACAGAATATTCACAGCATGATAAGAAAGTCTGTAGATTATGCAGTAATTGCCTCTTTTTTCTGGGTTGTTCAGAGTACTCTTAATTAATTAACCACCATTAAAAACAACTTCACATACTAATAGAATAGACCACAAGGTATAAAAAGAGATAATGGGACTAAGGGGATTCATAGCAAATACTTTGGAAGAGAATATTAGTTATTTTCTGTTCTGCCATGAGAAAGGATGTCAAAGACATCAAAAGCCTGGGCCCACAATAAGCTAGGCTGAAGTTACAGCATGAATATCTCTTCTGTCTGCATGAGAGATGATGATTAGAGCAAGAAATCAGCTTTAGATGCTGCCAGGACATCCTCTGGAAGAGATTCAGAAACAGCCAGCTATATGGACTCAAACATCTGTGCCCACAAGAACAGAAAGGACAACCTAACTCTGAAGACACCGTACTGCAGGGAAAGTCTACCAAGGGAGTGCAAACCCACACTCTGAACAGTTAGTCACCAAAAGCATAAGTCACTATCAGCCTCCTATACACAGTAAAGCTGCCACAAGGTTTGTGGTTTCTCATGAATTGGTATTTTGTTCTCAAAGCAAAGGAGTACAAACTTTTCTTTTCTGCAAAATGGAGCAGTACAACTAAAAAGAAATCTGTTCTTGTTCTTCTTGCTTTTTCTTAGATTTTATACACATCTGAAACAGATGAAGAACTGAAGCCCTCCATACAGGAGATGCTCCCAAGCAGTTGGAATTAGGGTTGCCAGGTAAGGTAACCCACAGGAATCCTACAGGATTCCATGAGAACAGTGTTCAGGCTGGCAGTGGCGATCCTATATGGCCTTGAAAGACAGCTCCAAGTAACAGTGCTGCCATCAACACCAAACAGGTGGTTTTCAAAGATTTTGACCATGAACTGCATGCACATGCCCTCTCCTAGGAAGCGGCAGCTGCTGGACAGTACATTTCTTTATTAGGTCTAATAAAACCAATCCTAGCTCTATCTAGGTACAGAGACTGCTCACAGACCAAGCTATAGTACAAGACACCTATTAAAAAGGGTCAATTTGCTCTACAACCTCTACAGGCTTTCTGATAGTTAGACATCACCATCTTTCTTTGATTTACTTGGATACTGCCTACCAAGTGTTGCAAAGGAAATACCATCTGAATTCTTCCTGTAGGAACCATGACTTTCTACGTTTATTCCTCCAATGATAAAGAAAGACAATCATAAAAATGTCTGGATGCCAGGAATGCCTTACAAAGATCACAAAGCAAGCACAAGTTGCTGTAACTTACCAGCGTGGAGGTTTCTCTGCATACAGTACTGAAGTAGGGTGGATATGAAGTTCATGGTCATCACGGATAGTCCTTAAAAAGAAGATTTATTATTTAGAATTTGATTCCTTTCATCCCCAGTAGGAATGTTAATAAAAGGCAACAGTGAAAGAATTGGAGCAAATTTTAAAGATTTCTATTTAATGAAGAAGCTTTCAGTTGAAACCAGGCTTAAATCCTGGTCAAAGAAACAACTGATAATGTAGTGATGTACATGAAATGAAGAAGCAGTGTTTCAGAGTTTCATTCAGTTCACTGGAAGCAACAGAACAAATACATGGTGCTTGCTTGCATTAACATAAATTAATTACTGTTAGTAACAGATTCCCCATTATCAATAACTTGTTATTTGCATTTGACAAAGAAAAACATCAATGCAGTTTGAACATACAAACCTCCAAAGATGTAGTAAATCAATCACCACGTGTTCCTTAGTGCAAGCATCCAGAAGCACACTCATCTGTTGGCTGTGCTTAGATTTACCCAATCAAACAAGCTTTTCAACTAAGCAGGAGTTGTAATCAAACTACTTATATTACCTGTAAGCTCCTGTAGAGTGGAATTTAGCTGCGTTAGCAAAGAATCCAGAAACTATGCATCTTAGAACAGGATCTGGATCACCTGAAGAAAAGAATTTTTCTGTAAAATTAGTCAATGGAAAGGTAAAAATCCCTTCAGCATCATTTGATCATCTCAGACAACTTCTCATGCTGCATCAAGCTGTGAGAGCAAATGAAGACGAGTCCTGCAATCTCTTGTAAAAAACAAAAGTTGCTGAAGCCTCCAAGAAGATCGATACAAAGTCCTCAGAGCAAACCTGTGTGACAGCTAAGCATTAAGGTCTGATTGTTCAGAGCTGCTAGAAATGAGTGCTGAAAACCAGTCATGGTATTCATGTCCACACAGCAGCTAGCAATCAGATCTCAATGTCTATACATCATTATGAATACAGCAGAAAACTGGCCTTTTGTAAAGGACAGAAGAAGAAGAAGAAATGTTTCTTCAGAAGAAGAAATGAGGCGACGTTCTTATAACTTTTTTTTGTAAATTTGTCCTTTAAATCCAAGATCAAAGGTGATGATCTCTTATTGGAAACGTAACTAACGAAGGCTGGACTATGTGTTAATTGTACACTAATTTGCTCATTCAGTCATTTTTGAACTAATTTGCTCATTCACAGTCATTTTTAGGAAAAAAAATATGTGGATTTAATCAATGTTATTTTTAGGCCATGAAAAAATACAAGAAAGGCAAGAAGCACACTGGCAATTTAGAGTCTACCCTCAAAACGTGCAACAGAATTAAAAGAAAATGAAGGAAGAAAGAAGGAAACTTTCACCTTCACTGGACTTCTTTGGCACTTTAAAGCGTACAAGAAGCTTTTTGAGCTGCTCCCTTACAACAGAAGCTCTAACAAGTCCTTTGTAGTTCAGAAAGTGTTCCTGACACCACTGAGAGCTTTTGCTGTGCTGCAGAGTAAGGAGAAAGAAATTACCATGAAAAGCCACCAGTAAAATAACGAACAATCTCTTCTGGGTCACAATCTTATTAAGTTTTCTTTTGTCTTCCACAATGCTACTTATTGTCCTTTTTGCTGAAAATCTTCTTACACAGCAGCTAACAAGTGTAGGTAGCAACACTAATTACAGAGCACGTTTCAAACAACCTCTAAATGGCAGACAAATGCATCATATAAAAAATGAGTCTGTTTTTAATCTCAAAATGTAAACAACATTTTCCTTATACTGTTTTCATTGGTCTCCTTCTCTAGAAGCCAATACTTAATTCAAGAGTCTGCATTCAGCTGCTTTAAGAGATGTGCAGAATCAAAATCTGACAGGCAAAGTTTCATTTAGTGCCTGATTGCTTTGGGAATAGGAAGAGGAAAGTTTTCTTTTTAAATCCTAGAGTGGTTATATTGGTTCAACTCAAGACTTTAACAAACATGTTGTTATGGAAGTGCTCCATACCAGCAAAATAATGAGGCAGTGTTTTACGGAAAGATTGCTAGAGTTGGATGTAGTTTATCATCAGTACAACTCAAATATTTCTATAAAAAGTTGTAGAAACACAAATTTCAATCAAAATTTGAATACTTGTTTTTTTATTAGACCCTTCCAAAAATCCCCATCTCTCTGAAAATACAGTTACCTACAGATAAGAATCCTGGGCCATATCTGAACTACTAGAATTTTGTTCCATGATCAAATGAACTACAGAAGATCTGTGGCAAAGTAAGGCCAGAGAATCTTTTAATGCAGAACTATCTCACAGTAGACTTGGCAAGTCCTTGGCTTTGAGGATTCTATATCCAGAAATTCCAGAACCAGAACAGGGGACACCCAGGTTCTTCACATTCCCACAAATCCACTTGTATTGACTTACTTTGACAAAGGCTTCATAAACATTAAGCATAGTGAGATGATCTCCTTCCTCCACAGCAAACTTTCTGTGTTGCCTGGCCTGGAGGAAGATAAATGCATTTTAAAAGCAGTCATGTTTAATGACCTCAGTATTAAACTGGTGTATTTCCTGGTGACTACCAGAATTCTTACCATAAAGAACAGTTCTTCAACACGACATCTACATTCTACCACACATATATATTGAGGTGGTGTTCTTAAACTTGAATTAGAAAAATGAGCTGAAAATAAATCCCACAAAATCTAAGAGAGACCCATTAAAATTAGGCTCCTGATATCCATCAAAAGCTCAGTCTCACCTAATACTTTCTTTTCTGTTCTCTGAAAAAGAAGGAGAACTTGTGGAAGTTTGCTTAGTTGCTTGTCTTGTTTTTCTATTTCCCTCCCCCTTCTTTAACAACCTCTCATGCTGGCCAATACTGGTTTATAACCCTTCACATTTCTGCTCCTCAGAAGGAGTCAGCTCATACTAGCAAGGGACACATGGACCCCACCGTTGCTCAGTTTCCCCTTTTACCTAGAACCACTAGGTACAGTTCAAAGCTTTGCTTCATTTTCAAATGAATCTGCAATCTGTTGCACGCACCAATAAAATTCTTGATGGAAGACTAAAAATATAGAATGTACCAAAAAAAAAGAAGTGTGACTGAACTTACAGCTTGAGATTTTTGATTCGGCGGGATCAAAAAGATGTTCTGAATCTGCATCATTGCAGCAATTGTTAAAATCTCCTGGGAGCAGCCAAAATTTCCTGAAAAGCAGGTGGAAAAATTCAGAAAAGGAAATCGTCTTCCATTCAACTTACCACCACACAGAATAGAAGAAAATTAAATATATATATACATATTTATAGTATAACAACACAAAATATCTAACTCAGATTTTTTTGCAAATATGAGTGAATGTTTTCATGGAAAATTAAGACAGTGTATTAATCTTAATTATTAATGTGTTAAATGTTGGTCACTATTAGAGAGGCCCATGAGTTTAATGGCTCTTCTTACTCAACACTACACCAAGACAAAACTTGCTGTAAGTTTAGTCTATATCTAATAGCATGCTACTATTGCTAGAGCAATATCCACTACTCATCACAAGACTATGAAGAAAATTTTGTTTTTTCCCCACCTACCTGATTCCAGAAGCATCTTTGCAAACATTGGATTCAGAGGAAACTCTGCTATTCTCATCCCCAGGGGCTCAGTTAAACGGCAGTGCATATCCAAACCTGCAGTGCATATCCAAACCCATTGATAAACATATTGGTGATGCAGGTAAAAGTAGCACAGAAAGACTTGTTTAGAATTGTGAGCTAAAAATACAGCAAATACACCTAGGAACACTGTCAGTTTTCTGAGTTACATCTGTTTGGGTCATAGAGAAGTAATTTAATAGCGACTAGAGAAGCACAAAAGATAAAGATTGCCTGCCTGGTGCATCAGCAACTGAGCTGCCAGCCATATTCCTGCTGTAGCCCTTTTACTGGAGCTGGAGTGGTACAGGATGAAGGCACAGCAGCTTGGTTTTCAGAGCATGAGAGAAACCACACAAGGACAAACCAATGGGAGCAGTGCAGCAGACACTGGAGCACTGCAGACTGTATAAATAACCATAACCAACCAGAGCACAGTGAGGAACCAACGGTGGCCCACACCATACATAAACATGCTATTTGTCAGATGGGGTGGTGGCAAAAAGCCACACAGAGAAAACCCAAACCACAAATGAAGTCAAAGGAGGACAGCTCCAACAACTTACGTCAGCACACCTAATGCCACAGCTATCTCTCAAATGTTTACTTTCCTTTATTACTTGATAAGACCTTTAATGAACTTTTTATGTTTCACTTATGTCACACACCACACCCCTACCCTAACACAAGATACTGCACCTAATGTAAAAAAGTTATCCTTGGAGACAGGTACAAAATGCATTCTGTGTGTAGTGATGAAATAATATATTTAAACATGCAGTCAGAGAAACTGAAAAAATTAAGGTATGATTAGTTACCATTCGACCAAGGCTTAAGTGCTATCTTAGAACATGGAGCACCTAACTTAAAGAATTTCAAGAAACGAAACTGGGTTCTGAAGTGGGGAGGAGGAGAAATCATCATCTTTTTAACTTTCTACAGGTATATTAAGCCATAGGCTATTGGCTTCTGCTGAATTCTGTGTCAGTGCAATTGTATATGGATATGTACAGCTTGTGTGCAGATGTCTTTGTAGATGTAAGCCTGCATTTACAGGGAAGAGCTACAATGGACACAAGTTTGGAACAGCTTTACTGAAATTACCTTAGAAGCAACTGCTGTGTATAGCTATGAAAGCTTAGATAAAGATATTAAAAGATTACTAGTGAGCATGCTTCAACACCTTGTCACTAAAAAGCTTCAAGTGCAATCACTAGTCAGTGATGGGTTAAGGGAGGAGGACATCCGATCTTAAACCCGGCTGGACAGCAACACAAAGACAAATCTTCAACAAAACACTGGCTCTGAAATAAAGCCATAAACAAAGTCACTTCTTGCCAGCTTATCTGTGCGCCTCTAAATTATGCTTAAAAATAATAAACTCCAGCTGACAACTCTGACTTTCAAATGGGCATCAAAGGAGAAGGCTGAGAAAAGGTCCTCCTGATGTAATCTGTTTGCGTCACTGCAAAAATAATCAGTCTGAGAACACTGATGTGTTTATTCAACAGAACTATCTCAGTCTGCACAAGTTGCTCCGCAGGGTCCTGACCCTAAACTGCACGTTTACATGATATTACAATGCAAGTGTTGAAATAGAGGTTCATACTTGCATAAGAGAAATGCAACCTTTACTGCACTTGCCAACTCCTGGGCAGCTTTATCTCTGGAAAAAAAAGAAATCTTCACAAAACTAGCAAAAACCTGAAACTTCAGCAAAAATCTCAGAGCTAACCTGTATCACAGGCATGCATGCATTCCTTCCTACCTCAAACACCGACATCAGAGCTTCTCTGTCTTGCTACAAAAGCTGGACAGCCAATAGAGTAACAGCTCCATGCTCTCCCGTGAAACTACCGTGAGCATAATGCTTATGCCAAAACAGCAGACAGCTGATCAGTGAGTTTACTGACCTTTCCTCTCCATTTCCCTAAGGTGGCTTTGGCTGCAAATCCATCCTTGCAACATGCTTCAGAGCCAGCACAAAGGCGCTTGTTCCAGGCCGAATTGGCTGCCATGAACCCAGTGCCTCAGGTGGAACCCTGCTTTTCAAGATGCAATGGAACCAGCACAGAACAAAATCCCAGGCAACGAGCTACACAGCTCCACAAGAGTAAGAATCACACCAGCTGCCACAAATTACAACACAGCATTTGTAAGTGATGTAAAAAAATGGCCACAGACCACTGGAAGCTTCCAAAATTTACACAAACTCTTCTATACTACCTTTTTCCTCTTGGTTACATTATCACAGAATCATAGCCCTCAAAAAGCCTTCAACATCTTACCAATGAAAGGCTACAAAAACTAATAGGTGATCTCTGTTTTCTGAGCTATTGGGAAGCACACTTTGCTAGATCTTGATTCCAGTCTTCGGTGACTTTCTGCTCTCAGACTCAAGTATCAGACTGTACTTACAATGCACAGCAGAGTCAAGATCAGATAATGAAAGGAACACGTTAACAGAAGAACTGAAAATGCTTTCTGTGCTTCTTGAATCAAGGAAGAAATAAAGTAACAGTTATATTGAATATGATAAATTCTGAATTATTAAAATTAGTCTGACCACAAGAGATGTCACACCTTTACTCCCAACTTATTTTATTCTTGTTTATACTTGAATTTTCCATCACTGGTATAGTAACACAAAATGAAAGACTGAATATCCAACAACCTATCCAAATGCACGCATGTGAATTTAGTGTCTTACTCACGTACTGGTCTAATTAGTGACCTATTTCCTTTTATAACTTTGTAAGTTTGCTCTTAAAGAACTGGAGAAACACAAGATCTGCCTGAGCAAATCAAGTCAACACCATCATCAGCTCAGAATCCTGTTCCTAGCAATGGCAAATTATTGATTCCTCTCACAAAAGCACAAGTTAATGCACAGAAGGATAGCAGTAAAATCTGCTTTTGCATAATCAAAACAGATACACTCTAGTTTATACTCTATGCAGTTTTCTAGTTCCTCCCAGAAAGTCATTTCCTTTGCTTTTCCTTTGCTTACCTGTGTGAAGTAACCACTGAACAAAAGAAAGGAAATTCTGAGGAGGCTGAAGTACGTTGAAGCTGAAGTACGTAAAAACCTTTAATTGAACAACTCCCATAAGAAAATCATAGGTAAAACAAAGTATAATATTCTCACCTCCTAAAGCATACAGTAATTCTAAAGCTTGTACCATTGACTGTGCAGGAGGTGGCTGTGGAAAATAAAAACATGGATTGTTTAAAGTTCTCATCATGAAACCTAAAAGTTTTCACAGAAGTTCCTAGATCTTCTTCACAAAATCATTCTAATGATCTTTCTACACACACAAAATGAAGAGAGTTCTCAGAATCTTCCTGTTAACCTTTCATTGACCACCAGTGCTGCAAGTCAGAGCCATCTCAACAGGTTCAGGATCATCACTATGACTCTCTCAAGATCCTATCAGTACACAGAATTAGGCCAAGCTCTCTTTATTCAAAGGCAATTACGACATCAATTACTTCTCAACTTTCTCTTCTATCTTCTCTTTACACAAGAGTAGCTAGAAACTTTAGAGAAACCTAATAACTGTTATTGCTCTTTTTAACAAGGTGGACAAACACAGGTTTAGTTCTGTAGATTCTTCCCCCCCAAATTCAGTGCAAATCAAAATCAAATTAGCTATAGTTTCACAGAATCCTTTTTCTTTCCAAACTGCTCTCAACTGCTCCACGCTTGTAACAGCAAACTCTAAAATACAACAGCTGTTGTGTCTAAGTTGTCACATATTACTTGCACTAGCTGATTCCCAGGAGGATACTTTGCCACCTGATAGTGGTCAATGAGGTGTAATTCCCAAATTAGCAAAGCAATAGTTACTGGTTCAGTGGGTTACCAACAAGTCACCCAGTGATCACTGCTGGCATTAAAGATGACATGCTTCATTGCATAGGACTCACCGAAAGGAAGGGGAACCTGAGCACGTTGTCAATTCCCAGAGCCTTCAGCTGCAAGATGACAGGTGCAAGGTTGCTGCGCTGCATCTCAGGAACAGTGGACTTGGGCAACTTCTCAAAGTCTTCCTCTGTTACAAGAAAGCAAAGATACTTGGGATTGGGTTTCAGCTCTTCCTGTGTGCAAGTCACCACGATAAAACTACCCTTTTCAATTTAAAACTATTGACTATGAACACTTCATAGGTGTTAAAAGAACTCTTTCTCAAAATGACATTATTTTAATGATTGTATTTTCAGTTACTTTAATGTGAAAATTCTATGTTTATCACACATGTACTTGACCCATATTTTAACTTGAAATATAAATTCTTCACAGAAATCTGGAAATACTTTTTCTTCTAATAGTTTGATTTTTTTAAATCAGAAAATTCTCTAAAACACCAATTTGAAAAATGCTGCAGATCATTTTGGGAGAAGGTGCTTTATTTTACTTCAATTTCAAAGGGTGCAGGATCACACTTCTGAAAGACAACTAGGAAAAACAGATTTTTTTTAATTTCACAGTGTATCAGCAATTGCTCCCAAAGCAGCCAAAGACCTGTCCCTGTGAAATATAAGCACCTCTCACACAGATGAGTTTTCACTCTGTCACCCAAACCCAATGACAAATTGTTAACCTCCATGATCTGGTAAGCATTTCCCTTAGTCTGCAGGCTCTTATAGTCCATGGAAAGGTCTGTTAAATTTAAAGCAAGAGCAATTGCATTCACTCTTGATTCTTTAGTAAACACACAGATTTAGGGAACAAAGCATGTCTGTCTTTAACGTAGCAACTGCTGGCAAGCACATACACTTTTCAAAGTGATTTGTTCGATATCTCTAAGTCTCAAAGCTTGATAACATCAGATGGAACCTGAGGCACACATATGCAACTGCAGTGCTCAGCTGTAAGGCCTTTCCTATTCAACAGCTGAGAGAAGAGGCAGTTGGATTGCAGCATTCTGAGCACTGCCGAGTGGCTGACAGATTCATTTATAACAGTTATTTTTGTACACTGCCAGCTTCAATGTTTCAAGGCAGCATTTGAGATTGGCACCTATTGCTATGGAGACCACATCAGGAAGTTTTCCTCTGTCATCTGACAGACGTCTGCAATCCTTTGGCAGACACGCAGTTAGCAGATACTTTAGTCACAGAAGAGTGTGGCACAGGTGGCTGCTGTTCAGTGATCTGAATCTTTAGAAATCAAAATCACTGAAAGGCAGAATTCTGTGCAGAGCTGCCACTCTCAAAGTTGTATCAACACTGCAAGATGGCAATTAGTGAAACTTCCCTGCTAAGCTCATATTTCTGTTTCATAAAAAGATCCCATTTCTGGTGCTTAGCAGGTATGAACAAAGCACTTCTAAGTAAGCCAGAGTAACTATCTCTTGCTGAAAGAAGATGCAGTTTTGCTCTCCTTACGCCAATGCTAAAGCCACTGTAAAACAAAATGCAAGTCATGCCAGTAAGCTCACCTTCCCAACACAAGCCATTACTGACCTGTATAGAGCCTGTAACATTTCCCAGAGCGGTTCCGGCCTGCACGTCCTGCTCTCTGGTTAGCTGAAGCCTTGGACACTGGTACCACCACAAGGCATTCAATGGCTGTTTTGGGATTATAGGCTCGAAGCTTCACAAAACCACAATCGATTACATACGCAATGCCGTGAATGGTGATAGAAGTCTCAGCAACGTTGGTGGCTACTATCACCTGCAGATATGGACACAGCCATGACACTGTGAACCCTGCAATCTCAACTGTGCTGGCACTAGCATCAGTGCACCAGGGCTCACATACAAGATACTTAAAAGATCCCAGATAGGACGGTTCCAGTAAATGCACTCCGGAGTACAAAAGGATACAGTAAAAGCAGCAGAAATAGTCCTCAACTTGATGTAACTATTTTTTACAGTTTCACAATCTATTTCTTATTCAGGTTTATCTCCTCTTCATAAACGCAGAAGAACTTGGTGTGTTTGCAAAGAAAAACGTTACCTAACTGTAAATCAAATGTTCTTAATTAGTGAACTAAAATATTGAATTTATGCTTCTCAGTTATACTGAACTTGTAACACAGGAGCAGGGCAGGAGACAGGGGAGGACAGAGCTGATTAATTGTCCACGTTTAGTATTCCTGTTCTTGTATACCTATATACGAGTCCTAGAATATTAAAAAAGAATTGCTGCCAAGTGACAGAGGGAAATTTAATCCTTATTTCACATGAAAATAAAGAAGTAATCTCAGCAGTTAATCCTCCTGGAGAGAAGTATTTATCTGTCAACAGTCTCCAGCATGAGATGAACAACTTTACCCATTAGACTCCAGCAGGCACAAGAAGTATAACAACTCACTCCATGTAATTGTCAGTTTATCTCTGCCCCAACACAAGCTCTGCTCAAGTAGAAAGCACTAATCATGACCAATTAGATGGCAGTTCTTTGATGTTAAACATCTAAACAAGGCTTCCAGAAGTCAAAACAAAGCTGCTTTTTTTTTTAAAAAAAAACTCAAGTCAAGCAAGGTTTAACTTCTTTCTCACATGCAAATTTACCCACTCGGTCCTTAATTTTTCTTTTCTTGGTACTGAACAGCTTAGTCTAGGTACCTTGTCCACAAAAAGGAATGATAACAGGTGAAAGCAGACTTCAGAGTGTAACAAGCTACGTCAGGACATAAGCAAAAGCTGCAAATGGACAAAGATAAATACGTGAGGTATGTAAAAAGACTCCCAAAGATTGAGAAGCTGAGGTAGAAAGGAGAATTGGAACTAACATATCTTGCACTGATCGATGATCAAAAGGGAAGGCAGAGAAAATGCTCTGGGCTCACAGTGTGAAAGATGACAGGCACTATTAGGAGATGCAAAAAGTTTTGCTCTGTAGGAGCTCACAACAGTCTCACAATGTGAGCATTCTTTGCATCAAGCTGCAAAACACAGGCAGCCTTCTGGATGGCAGAGATGACATTAAATTAAAACTTTACCTTCCTGACACTGCGAGAAACTCTCTCAAATACTTTCATCTGATCAGGAGAAGGCAGCCCAGCATACATGGGGAGAACACGGAGGTGCTTTTTCATTCCAGTGCGAGAAAGGGCCCGAGCCTGTTCTATTAGCATAGAAACTACAGTCTCCACTTCCTCCTAGAAGCACAGCAAGATGAAAGAGCATGAGAGTGCTTTCACTTACAAATATCCTACAGATATCACCTCTATGAGACCTGCACCAAAATAATCCTAACACAATTTTAATTTTTCCAAATCTAGAACCATCTGACCAGTTCCCTCAATTTTGCAATATTCTTATATTAATTACTTCTTATATTAATGTTGCTATTAATACTAATTACAACAGTTGTTGTTCAAGACAGTGTCCCACCACAAAATATATGAGAAAAATCATGAAAGATGTGCTGAACAAAGCTCTGTAATAAAGAAAAAGACCCATTTTCCTCTGCATCTCTCAATGTGTGAGATCAAAATGAGGGGCTGATCTGTTCTGACTGCGCTGTAGGCCTCGATCTAGAATGACACAGTAACAGCATTAACACCTACTGCTCAACTTTGTGTTTCATCTCAGAGATCAGCTGTGGCTCTCAAAACACAACAACAAAAAAAGATATATTCTCTTCAATTCTCTCTTTCAAAGTCAAATCAATTATAAGCATGAAGAATTTCTTTTAGAAACATGCAGGATGCTAGTGAGGCCATTCAAGGTAGTCTGTTCTGCTCTGTGGAATTGTAAGCTATCTCTAATTTACTCTTCCAGGCTGCAAAAGCTAACTGGTACACAGCAGAAAAATATACTTGTTGGTTGTTTTTGTTTTTTTTAATCTAATCATATAGCAATTTGTTTCTCCTTTCAAAGACTTCAGATTTTAAGACTATTATATGTAGAATTCCATTTGCACTAATTATTAACATGACTCACTGTCAAACTGACAACTTTGTAGGTGTGACTATCACTAAAAAGCACACTGTTCATGTATTAACAAGGCCAAGCCACACAGTATTAAATGAGAAAAGCCATCCTTATCAGCTGTGATAAATTCAGCTCTGATAAATTCAGACCATTGCATCAGTACATTTTCTGGAAGTCCTTGGGACCAGTCTAATTCTGCTCTCATTGACAGAAAGGTTCATCATCTTAATGACAGTGAAGAAAGTAAAGCAGGAATCTGAAAAGGCTTCACAAAGTCAACAGTACAACACTGTTGAGCAAAAAAGTACTGTTGTCTATACCTGGCCAGTCAAAAATGCCAGTATATCACCATCATTCTCCATCTGGTGAATTTTCATTGCAGTTTCCACAGTTGATTTTATATAATCAGGAACAGGACTGTGGAGAGAGAACACAATATTGTTACTTAGGGTAGCATGGTTAGGTTGTGGTTGGACTCGATGATCTTTAAGGTCTTTTCCAACCTGAGCAATTCTATGATTCCATGATTTTGTATCTATTTGCTTTTTAAAAGATAATAAAAATTTAAAAAACAGCAACTCATTTTTTCCTTGACAATGCTTTGAGTTTAAAAAGTCATTCTGCACATGTTCTGCTGCTATAAGCAAAATCCCACCACTTCAAGAGCTTTTTTAACGTCATTTTCTCAAGCAAATATTCTGAAGTGCATACTTCAAATATAACTCACATGACCACGTGTCTGCTCTAAGAAGAAAAATGTAATTTTGAGGTTTTACACATGCTACTATTTTATTTTTTCCATATGATTCATGTACCCATCATTAGAAACATTTCCCAGCACATGCAAGGGTAGCATCTCCCAATGGGAAGTGACACAAGTAGAACATGATTTTCATTTGTACAAATGTGAGTTCACATGCACATATTTGAAAGTTCTTTTGAGAACTCTGTTCTAATGTTTTCCATTTATGAAACTGCCTTTAAAATCCTCAGCTCCCTCACAGAAAAGCAGAGTAGAAATTGGAAGGAACTTTCAAAGATCATCCAGACCAACTGCAAAAGAACAAATCACTTGCAGAATGGAGACCACTAAAAACTAAAGCTGAGGAGGCTTTTGACAGGCTCTATGCATTCATTTCAAAATAAACTCAGGTGAAAAAAAGTTCCTTTAATTTGTCTATAGCTTACGATGTTTCATCACCTTTGTACTTAAATGCATTCCTGCTGCTCACAGAAGTGGAAAATTCATTCAATTTTGTATCTATACTTATGCCCTTAGTTTCTTGGTACCAAAACTATGAAAGTACTTTGAAAGAATGGCTATGTTTGCCAAACTGAACGTTACACCTTATTATAGCTGATCCGGTGCGTTATGACATCACAAGTTAGACATTCTTAATCACCGCCGAAAAGATCAAACAGAAACACACCTCTGTATGTAAAAGATGTCAACTGGAAACGTCCTCCCCTCCACAGTAAGGATCACACTGGTATCTTTGCTGGGGTCACCGGTATCATTTTGGTTGAAGAAATCCTTGAATTTCTCCATTAAAATAAAGACAAATACTTTCAGTTTGAAACTTCAAAGAATCGAGGGGGAAAACTTAACGACATCAAGAAGTCAAATTATTATTACTTGAATATAGCTTCCATAAATTTGAGTCTTTTGATAAAGTTATACTTTAAAAAACTTAAAAGTTGGATTTTGCTGTCTCAGATTCAGGCAATGAGCACCTCCAGGGATGGGGCACCCACAGCTCTGTGCCTCCCGCACCAGTCTCACCACCCTCTTAGTAAAGGATTTCCTCCTCACATCTTCCCTAAATCTCCCCTCTTTTCATTTAAAACTGGTCCCCTTGTTCCATCATTATCTGCCCATGTGAAAAGTTAGCCTCCCTCCTCATTATAGCACCCTTTAACTACTAGAAGGCTGGAATGACGTTTCCCCAGAGACTTCTCCAGTCTGAACAAGCCCAGCTCCCTCAGCCAGTCTTTGTAGGAGAGGTGTTCCTCTCTTCTTCAGCACTCAAACAGGAGCAGCACAGAGGACAAGCTCCACATGAACACAAGTGGAGCTGCCACTTAGGGTCACTTCATTTTAAACCAAATTTGGAAGATATACCTCTGCATCCAAGGTGGCTGAAGCCACGATCAGTCGAAGATCTCCACGCTTCTTTTGAATCTAGGATCAAAAAGACAAAGAACACCTAGAGTAAAGACTGTCTTCAGAGCTATAAGGCTAGACCCAAGTTTCAGAGCAGCCAGATTACCAGTGACTTCTCTATAAAAATAGGTTGTGATCAAGACAGCTGATGAACTGCAGCACCTGTATTGCCCTGTGACCATATCAACCTGAGAAATGCGTGTGGAGCTTTTTATATTTAAGGCTAAGAAAGAATTGAGGGTATTCGAAAGGAAATCGTAGTTTACTCTCAATTTCTGGTGGAAGTCAGATCACTGATGGCTTTAAAGTCAGCAATTCCCTGCAAGGTCACTTCTCATACTCATCTTCAGTAGAACAAAGACTGTCTTTTTCCTTATGTAATACAAAGATAAAATTCAGCCTCGGGGGGGGAAACAGAGGATCCCAAGTGTCAGATGTGTAAAGTAAACAGCTGATAGATACAGTGAGCTGTGGGATAAATGAGGAACTAGAAATCTCCCTCTCTCAAATGAGTTTACTGACAAAACATCAGGAGCAGAAGTTTAGTAAAGATGACGACAGTGGAAAATCTTGCAGACCACATCAAAAAAATAACCTTTTTTAGTAATCCAATGGCAATATCTGTATAAAGAGTCCTTTCATGGGCTTCATCCAGCATGAGAACACTGCAAATAAAGCAGAAAGATAAGATATATAAATGGATTGAATGATGCTAGAATCAGTGTCTTCCTATATTAAATATCAGTGTTTAAATTTGTTACTGAATTATTGCTTACATTCATTTAGAAAACCAGTGAGATAAAAAAAAACAAAAAACAAAAAAACAACAACAAAAAACCAAAACCATAGAAGCAAACAAGAGAGAAAAGGTAGACAACAACCAACAAGCATGCAGTACAAGCAGAGCTTTCTTTATTCAGGTTGTTTTGGAAAGGGATGGAATAACCAAGGTTTATTATTTGCATACTGTAAATGTTTTCTATATATCAGAATAAAGCCTGCTCATTGTTGATTGTTTAAATTAATTTAAAAAAAAGTTTAAAACTAGCAGATGAAACAGTTCAGACTCCACAAGGCCCATTTATGTTATACTCCAAAAATCACAGCACCAAATCCTGCTGGGTTTGGCACTGCAGCTATCAATTTTCTAACAAGTTTCTAACATACGAAGGTCAGAATTCTGAATAATTTTCACATTTTTTAACTTTAACTTATACTAATCATACCTCAGCCTAAAAAACAAACCCCAGTTGTTTACCAAGATGCACTTCAGCAAACGTTCAGCCCATGTTTCCTTACCTGTATCTTGTTAACAGAGGATCAGCCATCATCTCCCTTACCAGCATACCATCGGTTAAGAACTAAAAGTGAACGCAAAAAAAATGGTAAAAAGTCAAACAAAAAAACCAAACAGCAAAGCCTAGGAGGTAATCCTAATTGCACGTGTCATTTATTTACTTGAACCATTTTCTAAGCTTTTGCCTAAATTTTTACTTGCTTTTCATTTTCTAATGATCTTTGAAGTTGTTCTATTTCCAGCTATGGAAGCTAAATACAATTCTGAGTGCTATCCTGGAGATAAGCAGAGAAATTGGTACTTTTCATATTGGTTTTTGAGAATTAGTTGTTCTTCACTGAAAATCACACAGACTGGCAGCACCGGGATATGGTAATAGAAGCTTCTTCACACTTGTCTTAACATGACTGAATTTCTCTACAAGTAACATTCTCTGTATCAGTATAGCTTAGATTCTCTCAAGGTACTACTTAAGATCTCTCTCACATCTCACCAGAACACAAGACTTAACATTACAACTAATTCAATGTTTTAATTTAGTAATTTTTTTTTTATTTCTAGCCAGTAGAAACCCACCAGCTTTAATTAGCCCTCAGAGTATGATCAGGGACTATAAATTTAGTCAGCAAGAACTGATTTTCAAGGTAAAAATCCCAAAGTTTCCAACCTCAAACAACGAATCAGACTCCAAAACATCTCTATTTCTTTCAGTTCTAAAGTGCTATTAGTCTCAAAAAAAAAAAAAAAAAGTAAATTGTTTCTTTCATCATCATTCCAATTCCAACATAACTAAAGCAAACCCTTGTCTGTCCACAATACATTAATATCATTCATAGGGCTAAAGAAGAGCTGCAAAGCTTGCTATTAAATCCACATCAAATTACTCTCAGCCTGCCCATCTTCTGTTTTCTCTGCACTTTAATCAAAATCTGTTTTTGGGGTGGTGAGGATACTTCAGCTTTGATTCACTGCAGGCTTTCACAATGACTTTGAGTCAGATGGGGTCACATCAGTGCTGTACCAACAGCTGGCAACAACTAACTTGAAAATCTCCTTTCAATTTACAACAGTGGCTGTCAGAATAGCACAGTAAAACATCCTAGTTCTAGATAGCCACAACCCCCTCAATACACTCCTAGGGTATCCATCTGGAAAACCAAAAAGCTATCAACTCTCCATACCGGGCATCACAACTTTCCCACTGATTTTGCAAAAGTGCTGTAAGAGTTTCAGCTAACCTTTCCAGAATGACCACACACTATTTCACCTTAATTCTTGTAGCCTGGGGATCCGTGCAGTCATCAAAACGAATGCAATATCCAACTTCATGACCCAACACTGCACCTCTTTCATCAGCAACTCGGCCTGCAACCTGACAACAGAGATTCAAGTCAACAAAAAGCAGCTAATAGCAAAATTCCTCATTGCACCATTGTTTTGTCCATAGAAGGTCAGCATCAAAACAGAAACAAAGCTACTGCTTCTGAAGTATGACTTGATCTTAAATACAAAATTCTGTTTCATGTCATAGTGCGTGCTGAACATGCAAGTGGTAAATAAACCTTGAAGATGCTTCAGCACAACTTAATCTGCTTCACACTTCTTGAGACAGGTTTTGAAGTAATTTTCTGTGAAAAGTTCTGTCAGACCTACAAAGGTTGTCCTTCAACCAGTCACAAAGCTGGGGAAAGACCACACGTCAGTAACTGAGAAAGTACAGTTTCAGAACACAGCTGGCATGCAATAAAGAGGAGTACACACACGTAGCATGCAGAACAAGTTATTTGTTAAGCTGGTATGCCCTTGAATTTACTCAGACTTTGACTTTTTTTCTTGTTATCTAATGATGCTGGTCTCCTTCTCATAACACAAATTTCAATGCAGAAAACAGAAAACTGGCAAATAATTAAAAGCAGAACAATTTTTGGAAGACAAACGCCCTGGACCAGTTTTAAGCTAATAGCTGAAATCCTGATTTACCACTCTACAGAATATTAGGTACTGGCAGGCTATGGTTTCAGCAAACTACAACACAATTAAAAAGCTACAGTCAGAATAAAACCCCAGAACACACACATTAGTTCTATTAGAATTCCAGCAGTAAGCTTTTTCAGTCATTCAAATGACAGCCTAAACCATATGGACATTTATCACTTTCAGGCAAATGTTCAGAGTAACTGTCAGCCTGGGTAATGCAAGCAGAACTTCGGGTATTTCTTAACTAAGCAACCATGGCCAACTATTGCTCTTCACTTGGGACAACCTCCACATTATACCTGAGAAAGTAGGTAAGACATTAATTAAAATTAAAAAGTCTATTTCAGCTCAAGACAAAGCAATAAATCATCATCTCTCACCTCCCAGCAATAGTTATGTGACGCAGGCAGTTTCATTCTCAAAGAAAAATCCTCCTGTGACCATACACTAAGACCTAGCTGAGTAATCCTATTTTAGACTTAAAAGCAGTATGTTAAGACATCAAGGAAAAAGAGAAACACATTTGTTGTGAGAGAGAAATCATTGCAGCATATGCAGCATCTCCTGTAGAACTGCTCAATGTCAACTGAATGTTCTTTGAAGGGGAGAAGGAAGGACACTGCAGGCAAACTGCCCAAAGCACATGCTGCAGATCACTGCTACAGGCTGTTTCTTTAATGACAGTGGATGTAGTAAAAGAACACTGGGTGAGGTGAACCTTTAAAGTGGACAATTGCTCAATCTACAACACTTTTACCAGAAGCGTGCACTGACACACTGCAGGTACAGTTCAACATCATTAATTTAAAAAACAAACCGAAACAGGCAAAATGAGGATTACAAAAAGGCACCTCAATTTACTGTAAGAAGAGGAACTGGCAGCAGAAAAGCTTCAGCCCACCTCTTCAGTGCTTGGTGGCAATTATGAAAACAAACAGCACTGGCTGCTTTCTGTGCATATTATTAACACAGAGTGCAAGTTGTTGTCCTCAGCATCCCTCCTCCCTCTCCTAGTACACCTAACTTACAATATGTGCTCCTAGACATATCAATTAAATGCAAAGATGATAAAATTGATTTCTTCTTTTCCCCCACCCTCTTACCAAGGGAAACTGTAAAAAAAAATTAAAAAAAAAGTTCAAGAAAATTAGGCATGAATTGCTAGAAAGAAAAGAAGTATACAGCCTACTCCACTGGCCACTTTACTGCACACAGATTTGTACCACTACTTTACTCTGGGAAACAAGTTAGAGACCATACAACCATAATCCTAGCCCAGAGTCAATCACAGCTCAACCTTGCACAGTCCTAAGTCCCTGTATAGTTTCTGCTGATGCAACTCAATTTTATTTCTAAGCTTCTTCATCTGCTATTCTGGCCTTGAAATTGTTGGCTAAACCAATTAATCATGCTGAATTCAGCATGCAGTATCAGAAATTCTGGAGGGAAGGTAAGCATTCATTCAGGAGCTGAGAGTTGCCATTCCTGTTATTCAGCAAAAACCACTAATAAATGGAGAGTTATAATGATAATTCAGTGGGAAAATCTGGACATGGAGAAACTCACTGAAACAGCAGCAACCCGACGAGGCTGTGTCACCCCAACCACTCTTCCTTCAGCTGTCCAGCCAGCTTCTGCTAGGTACTGCAAACAAATATGTAGGGAAAGAAGGCATTATGGTTAAGAGGTGCTAGCTCTCCACACTGCTTGGCTCTGACACAAGCTTATGCATGATCTCCAGAAAACCAGTTACTTTTTGTGCATTATTTGTCTCACCTTTAAAAACAATTTAGGTTTCTCTAATTGTTTTTAATTAAGAAAAATATAGTTGATAACTACTTCTAAGAACATCAACTGTCAGAAGGTATGCTAAAAGCAGCTGTTTGAGTCTCAAGTATTAATCTGAATTGCTTCATTTTTTATTTTCTTGCCTTCATTTTATAACCACTTTGAAGACAAGCAGCACAAGTCAAGTGCTCACACTGAAACAGGTGGCTTTCATCATTAGCTTGCAGTCATTTAAGTTAAAATCAAGAATCGTTTATAAAAAACTTGCAGGAAACCCACACTTCCTTTCCTTCTCAAAATTAAGTTTAAAATTTTGTTGAAAACATAATTCTGATAAAGTTATAAAAGCCTTAACTTTAGCAGAGTAACTATTCTTTGTATCAGCATAAATGTAGGATGTGTTCCTTTCCAGGAGTGAAAGAAGGCTTTCTGTCTCAGATATGCCAGTTCCTGCTATCAAACATGAAGCTTTACTTTTCTCTCCTTTTGGTCATGCACACACACACACACAACACTGGCAAATTCCATTTTTACAGTATAGCTCTGGGATGCTGGTTTAATATTTCATGCAAAATCCTCTGAGGGAATACCAGATTTCACCAAGCTGAACACACATTTACCTGTGGAATTTGCGTCGACTTCCCACATCCTGTTTCTCCAACAATCACCAGAGTTTGATAGCTCTCCACTAGATAAAGTATGTGATTTCTTAGCTGAAAGACATAACATTAAGGTACCAAAACCAGATTTGAACAAAAAAAGAAAGCTAACATTAGTGTTTACCTAAGCAAAGTCATTTTACAGAGAATGTACTGTCAAAAGTTAAGAGAATCTTTCAAATCTACAAAGATCATGCATACAAAATACAGTAACTAAATTAAACCTACAAAGCCCATAAAACTGTTGGCAACAGCTGTCAATGAGAACGATCAATTTCAGCAAATAAAGAGAATGAGATCACATAACTGTGCTTTGTTGTAAAGGGTTTCCATACTGCTTTCTCAAACACAGACAAAACCACAAAAGCCAGGCACCATCTAACTGATTTAATAACCCCAGAAAGAACTCTTGTACCTTAAAAACAGGCAGCTTTTGTCTTTGTTGTTCAATAGACAGAGAAGCATAAGGATTATAGATGACTGTTACACCACTGCTCTCTGCAGGGCTCTGCCTCTCCTCCGAGACGCTGACGCCAGGACCTTCAGTGCCTACATGACAGCAGTTAACTTTTACAACACAACCAAAGTCAAGATGCTCCTCGCAAGGAGGAATTGCATGCATCCTAGCATATATCAAGAGACCAGTTTTTCTAGAAAATTAATCAAAAATATTCCATATCTGTAAACAAGCAAAAATTGTGTCAAACCAAATGTCTTTCTCCTGCTAGTTAAAAAGCTAACATGAATACATACTAATATGAATTTTTAAAGGAAGATAAAGGAGAAAAAAAGCACATGGGAAAAATGAGCAGCAAGTCTTAGGACTGTTATTCTTCCATGCAGCAGTTCTGATATAGCTTCAGTATCAATCTCAGAAATAAGGCCATGAGTTTCAAGCCAGCCAGCCACGTAACAGGACTCCCTTGGACTAACATGAACCACAAAACCACAGCCTTGCCTACTGATGAGATACAGCACTGCAGCTCTACATTTACCTCATATCTGAAATTTGATTTGTTTCTGCTGCTGTGTTAAAATAAAACTAGGGACAACTAAAAATTCCAAAAATGCAGACAAACCAAAAGCAAAAACTCATCTCAACAAAGGAACGTATGTCTTTAGCTGCAAATTCGACTGGAAAAATCTGAGAGCAAAGGGGTTTCTCCTGTTTTGTAGGACTTGCTCATTTGGGGTTTTTCCCATTGTTTCTGCTGTTTAAATCAACTCATCCCAAGTCAAAACTGCTAAGTAAGTTTCGCAGCATACTGAATCAATTTTAACAGCAATTAGTACTGACTCTGATAATTATCCACTTCCAGAATGGGTAAGGTAAGAAACAGGAAGGTCCAGGAGCCCACTGCCACTCAGAACATAGAATTATTTGAGATGAAAGGGACCTAAAAGGTCATTTATGCCAATTCTCCTGCAATGAGCAAGGACACCACAGCTCCATCAAGTACTCACAGCCCCATTCAGCCTGACCTTGAATGTCTCCAGGGATGGGGCATCCACCACTTCTCTACACATCCTTACATCAGTGCTTCATCACCCTTAGCCTAAATAACTTCTTCCTTATATGCAACCTAAATCTCCCCTCCTGTAGTTTGAAAGCTTGCCTTTGCCCTATCGCAACAGATGCTGCTGAAGTCTGTCCCCATCTAACAGCCCACAGAAACACCCCTCAGCCCCCTCTCGTCATGCCTGACCTGCTCCAGCCGCCCTCGTGTTCCACTCCCCGATCTCATTCACGGCCCTTTCCGATCGCGCTGCTTTAAGCCCACGTCTGCGTGATGCCGGGAGCCCCCCAAGCTCCCGACGCAACCTCAGGAGCGCTGCAGGGCGGCTCTCTTCCCCCAGTTCTCCCTCAGCGTAGCCCCCGCCACTCCCCAGCTACAAGGGCACACGGTGTCCGCTGGCCGCAGAGTGCCCCCGGCACCGAGCAGCGCTCACAGAGGCCTCTCCTCCCGCACCGCCGCCGGCTGAGGGGCAGAGCGCTCCTCCGGCAGCGCAGCCCGTGCAGTTCCCCGCCACCACCGGGGCCAGAAGCGCTTTAGCCCACGGAAGAAAGGTTAAAAAAGGGAAAGAAGGAAGGCGCAAGCCTCCCTTGCCACACAGACGCGCCGCCCTCACCCGGCTTCCAAAACTTCACCGGTCCCACGGGCGCCGCCATCCTGGGGTGAGAGGGTAACCGGAAGCGGAAGTGCAGAGCCCCCGTGATTCGGCGCCCGTTGCCATGGAGCGCCGGCCTGCCCCAGCGCGCGTTGCTGTGGGCTCGTAAAGTGAATGGGGCGGGGCCTGGGGTTTAACTGCGGCCAGGCTCTCACCCCGAAACGTCTGTCGTTAATTAGCAAAGCTAATTGCTTCCTCACCCACCGTGACGGCTGCCACCGCGCTAGCAGTGTTGTGGTGGCTACGGCAGCATACGTCGTAATGCTGTAACTCCACAGGCACTCGCTGAGTGTCTGCATAACCACCCAATAAGAACGTTATTCAGTCATAATTAGACACGCTACAAAAATTTATTTCAATGTCCTTGTTAAACGACACCCGTCCTATCAAAAATAAGCTCTACTCTTATCGCAGCACCATCACTGTATCAGGTGCTGCTGAGAAGAAAATCCTGCTGCTGGGACACGGAAATGGAGTCCTGTTAACATCAGGAGATGAACAACAAAGTTAAAAACCTGTAATTGTGATAACAGACACACGGGGGATCATCACTGTGAGAGTACGGTCACACAAACAGCATTCTGCATAGAGTACAAAACTGCCTTCTTAAGGGTATTAATGGAAGATGTCCAAAATAAGAATAAAAATACATATTTAAATTTGCTATCATCAGGATAAAAGTTAACGCTATTAAACTATATAAACTATTGAACATTTACAAATACGGAATGAAAACTATTACACTAGCATGTTTGTAAGCAGAGAAGAAAAAGGACACGGTGGCACAATGCACTGGCAGGAAATACCACTTCTGTAAGATCCACATGTCCACTTTGATATTCTCCCACTGGCGGATAGCACAGATCCACATGAACTTCCCCAGCTAAGTATACAGATTTCCCTTGGAGGCCCAGAATCCACAAGCACACATACTGCTAAGATTTCTGCTGCAGCAGAGTCTTAAGAACATCTACAAGAAATGGCTCTATTTCTCACTACCATGAGGCTGCCTGTCAGGTGGAAGCTTTTTAAATTAGAAGCATCTTCACAGATTTCAGATCTACTCAGCTTTTCCTATAAGATCAGGCAGTGGTAGCAACCGTAAAACATAATGCAGGAAAAAAAAAAGTCTTTTTTGGCTTTGCTACTAATATTAGTAGGTTGTTATTCATATAGCCCCTTGACTGCAGGCATTTAGAATGTGTTTATTGTGATGGTCACAATCCAAGTGATAAGAATTATCACTTTTTTAGTGATTATTTGAAAAGATTATTTGAAATTAAGTCATGGCAAAAACGTTAATCTGATACATTAAATTGTTCTGCCTAGCTGCTCAGATTCATGTAAACAGCACTAGAAGCCAGGTACTGACCTAGTTTCTAGCTTACAGCTACTCCCATCCAGTTCTGCATCATAGAACTGTTTGTGGAACACAAGACTAAGCTTTGACTGACTTCAGAGCCATGCAGCAGTCCTGCTATCCATCTTTAGAATCTTAAGGAATGTATTTTTTAAGGAATCTACATATAGAAAATGAGATTTGAGCTACTGAACTAAGACGTCACCAACCCGTTATGTTAAAATAATCAAAAATAGGTTGAAAAATGAGAAACTGACAGAACACCAGAAATCAGTAATGGCTTCTCAGGTATTAAAGAGTTTTGTTTTGTTATTCAAGAGCACTTCTGCGCGTAAGACAATACCATAATTGTGTCTGCTGAATGACATGGCAGAGGTGTTCGACTGAACTCACAATTCCAGTATTTCTTTCTCTCAGCTTGAGGTTGCCTTCCCAGCTGCTTGCACAGACACACTGTAAGGCAGTACAGGACATGGACCACAGGACATGGCTTCTGAGGTTTTGCATCTCGCTCTGAGTGAACGTGCAATTCATCTCTCTATGATCCAGTGTGGCCTCATAACTAGAGAGCCATTCCTCTTAGTCAGTGGTGGAGAAACATGCATTGCATTACTTGACACATAGACTGCTTCCCTTGAGGCATGCATCCAGTTTCGCTTCCTTTTTAGATTTCCTACAAATGCTCTAAGATATAAAAACTCCATTCTCATAAAGTTTTCCCTGGTTAAGTCTCTAGAAGCCACTGTAATCCTGACCAGCTCATCAAACACCTTATTCTTCTCGCTGCCAGAGAACTCTTTGAGGTTGACAGGCTTTGAATGTGCATAAAGAGTCCGAAATTCCTGGTCAAAGTGTGCAACTGCAGGACCCGACAGGATCAAAATGTTACTGCTGTTCAGCTTCCCATCCATCCATGTAAAACTAGCAAAAGGAGAAAGTTCCAAGTTAATTCAAAGTAATAACAGATATCCAAGCACTAACTGAAAATTCTCATGGTAGTGTGCCTTATTTTGAGGCCAAACATTACAAGCAATGTGCTAGTAAGGAAAATGGTTTTAAAATGTTACTGTTTCCTGTTTAAAGAAATCATATAAAGAGAAAAACTCGACACTTACCTATAGGAACCTGTTGTCACTCTAATGCCATCAATTAGCATGAACTTTTCACGGACTTTTCCAACAATTTTGGCACCTGACCTTGTGTAGTATGTGTTCCCAGTGATATTTCGAACTCTCATCAACTGTTAAAAAGATACAGAAGGCAATAAATGAATTTCAAAGTTATATGATTGTAACACATTTAAAGAAGCAACACATGACAGTAAAGATCACTGATGAACTAGCAAAGTTTACTGTACAGTGGCACAGGATTCACCATCTAGAAACAGTTTTGAATTGGCTTAGCCCACAGAGACAAAACTCACAAAGGGGCAGAGCTATACACTGATGGTGCAGAGTGCAGCTGTTAAAACTGCTGTCTAATCTCAGAGGGACTCGAACTCCAGAGAATCCTGGGAACGTGCCTCCCATCAGCCTTCGCAGTCTCAGCAAGCCCGAGCAATTCCACATGCCCTTTTACATACTGGACATTCCCCCTTCATTTTCTTGAGCAGTACTTTTGTCCCTAGAAGCATTACAAGGCTTACCTTCTCCTGCTCCAGATCAACTCCTAGATCCCTGCACATTTTCAGAAAGTGGGAAAATGAAGACTGATCCAGAAGGATATATGCTTTGACTTGCCGCTGGCTACAAGCTTCCAAGAGGTCCGTGAAGATATCAGTATCTGTGAAGGAATCCATGACCAGGGCAATCATCTGCAACAAGGTTCAGAAGAAATTTTTAGGTTGTTTCCACAGTATCCCAGGGGAGATGGGAGGAATTTGACTTTCAATTTAAATATTTCCCCACCCCCCACAGCCCTTTTATTCCCTCCTGGTCACTGCACATGGTACAGTCCTCTGCAATACATCCTTCTGTTCTTCAGAGAACGAACGGAACATTTAAAAGACGTGTAAGAAAGTGAAGGGAACAATAACTGTGAATGGACTAAAGATCTGAGATGAGAATTGCATATTGATACAGATGATTACAGCCCACAGCTCACCAACACACATCACTTGCTGCTATCATCACTTTTTCACATCCCTGTGTTGTTAATTTCCCCTGAACTTATGCACAGAACCCACTGTTGTTTGTCCCTATTTTAGTGCTGCTTGTTTTATTTATAGCAGATAACAGCGCTTAGGATTTTCTATCATCCCGTTGTGGGATTTTCTTTCACTATTTCAGTGGAGCACTACGAAGCTCACTGCCCGGACACGGACGGCTGGGTGCACTGGTCGCAAGCAACGCACCTGCAAGCCTATCGCCGAGAGCACCGTTTATCGACAGCAAGAAGCAGCGCTCTTTATCACACAGCCTCGCCTTCAGGGCACGGCGACACAAACCTGAGCGCCTCTGCCTTCCCCCCGCCCCTGCAACACTCGGGAGGCTGCGGCGGGCACAGAGGACGCACGGCCCCACGGGGCACCCACCTGCCGCGCGGAGCGGATCTGCCGCCGCACCGCCTCCTTGCAGCCGTACGGGCTGTCCCCGCCGCCCGGCTGGAAGTGCGCCTCCACCCGCGTCAGCCCGCGGAACGCGCCGCTGCCGAAGCCCGGCCAGCCCAGCTCCAGCGCCGGCGGCTCCGCGTCCGAGCGCTCGGGGAAGTAGGTGAGCGACGACGCGTCCAGGGACGCCTCGGCCGCCGACTCGTCGGCCGCGGCGGGCGGCACGGCGCCCCGCGCGATGGCCTGCACCTCGGGCTCCGACAGGAAGGGCGGCAGCCGCTCCCGCCGCAGGAAGGCGCGCAGCGCCTCGGGGCCGCCCGCCACCAGCTCCTCCAGCGCCAGCCGCCGCGCCTCGCTGTACGACCCGGGCGGGCGCGGCGGCCATTGCCCGGCGCCCTCCTCCAGGCACTGCGACGCGTTGGCGGCCATGGCGCGGGAGGGCGGGCGGCCGCAGGTAGCGCCGTTACGGCGCCTTTATAGCGGGCGGCCGCTCCCCGCCTCCCGCCCGGCCCCGCGCCCTCGCACCGCCGCCGGCCGCCCCCTCCGCAGCGTCCTCTGGGAGCAAACCGGGAATTGAACGGCGAGAGCTGCGGGCTGCGACGCGGGATGTCGGGGTGCCCGGTGTCACGCGAATAAAAGACGACTCACAGAGCTTCAGAGCCTCCCGGCAAAGTGAATTTATTTGTAAACAGCGTACCGCCCCTATCAGTACCAAAACAATCCTACAGTGCAACAACGTTGACGAGTACGCAGAGCAAAGGTTTTCGAGTTCATTTTACAGGCATTCAAACGCTGCCCAACGCCAGCTCTTAAATACAAAGCCTTGTCAGAGAGGCTTTGAGCACTGCTTACTGCTCCCCCAGGGCAGGGGAAAGGAGTGGATGATCTGACAGCCTACAGCAGCAGCCGGGCCTTCACCAACGCAGCCTGAAAAGATGGAAGTGCCACAGCCTATAGGATAAAGCGTGTCTGCCTACACTTCCATTGCAGCCCAGCTGTTTTGGCTGTTTTCCCACTCATTCATTTCTTCTTAGGGAAATGAACTTAACAGCTGAAATGTGCCATCTACTGGACAGATGCTCCCATAAATAAGGAGGAAATACCTTATCCAGATTGGTTTCACTGTAGAATTCATTCTGGTTAGTTACCAACATAATGGTATACAGGTATAAAGCAGCACAGGTCAGACCTCAGAGAGGTGATCCATCAAGCACAAACACACATGCACCTGCTGCAGACATTCAGGCAGTGTCTCTGCAAAGTGACTTAACCCACAAACCATGTAGTGTTGAAGGTATTTTCATAAGCTCTAGTGGCTCTTTGATTCCCCAAACCATTATCAGTGGATAAAATACAGACAGAGCAGGAAATACAGAATAAATTCTGAAAGCGCAGTTTAAAGAGAGAAAAAATTATTTGTAAAATAATCGTGGCAAACAACCTATAATATTTTTGTACTTTATTTGAGCAGAGCCTTTGTCATGTGTCCTTGGGGATCATCTCACCTCCAGCCCGACTCCAAGGCAAGCAGGCACTTACAGGTCTCCTACCAGAACTAAGACACACATCCCAGTTCCGGCTGAGACAGTTCATTTTCTTCTTAGCATCTGACATGAAGCTACCTTTAGATTTAAGAGAAAAAACTGTTGGTAACACAGTTATGTTATCGTTGTTACATGCACACCTTACATATGGCCATGTAAAGGCATACGAGGACAATCAAATTGAAGACCTAGTTTAGATCAGAACCCACAGCTGTTCCAACAGACCTTTCCCAGCTTCAGAGATAAAACACATTTTACTTCTCTACTGGAATGAGAATGAAGTTATTTTCCCTCATTCTGAACATGTAGTGGAAATAAAACCTATTATTAAAAAGGGGAAATAAATGTTAATATTACCATTCTGAGCAAGATTTGACTCAAATTTCTCCAAGCTTAGAGAACTTAAAGCCAGAGCGTTAGCAATCCTAAAAACAAAACTTAAATGCTTTCTAAGTCAAATATTCAGAAGTACAATAAACCTATACCACCAATGTGTATAAGGGAAACATGCAAGTGGTTTCAGTACATGTGAAAAATCTCACTGACTAAATTGCACGGTAGAAAACAAAGTGCTGGAAAGTGATGTGTGCATGTATTAAAGAAGAGTAAAAGTACTAGAAGGAAATACAAGAATCAGCAGATGTAAAGTGATTGCATTTTGTGACCAGAGCTTTCAAGCTCTGCATTCAGTGCAGCATTTATTCAGACAAGAGTGAAACATCTCAGAGGCTGTGCAGGCTGGCACTGATGTCTCACCTCTACTTCAGGTTGTACCTTCCCCTGCAGTGGTTCATGTAGCTTTCAGGAACATGTCTTCTCCGGGACAAGATACCCACCATGTGGCTAAGCTTTGATCTGATGGTGGAGTAGTGGAATTGCCTCTCCGTGTGCAGTTTTTGGAAATACTCTGCCCTGTGAATGCTAGGGTATTCAAAGGACCGAAGAGAAGACAGCGAGTTGGTGGAGCTCGTACGAGACAGGTGGGATGATGGTGAAGATAGTGACCGCAGGCTAGAATTTGATGAAGACTTTCCAGGTAGAAAGGATTCTTCTTTGGAAAACTTCCTGTAAAGCAGAGGGGTTTCCACAAACGCATCTTCCCTTGTCTGCATCACTGCAGCCTTCAGCAAAACTGAAGTCTGAGTCCCAGTCGTTCTTGTAGCAGTTGAAGTTTGAGTGTCAGCTTCTTCTGTTAAAACATTGGTCTGCATGCCAACATTACACACGGCCACTGCAGGCTGCTCTTCCCATAAGCCAGTTTGAGTTGATGCGTTCTTCTGTCCCACTATGGCCTCTGGATCGCTGAGCCACTCCTCTTCACTGAAGTGAGAATGTCTCAGGTCACCAGGTTTGCCTCCTGGAGTGTCTTCAGCCACATCTAGTTCTTGTAACAGTTTTTTTGGAGTACTGGACAGCCTGGCAAATTCTGCCCTCAAATTGCTCTCCACAGTGTATTCTTTAGAGGACTCTATTCTTTTCTCCACGTGATCAAATATTCCACTGTTCCTACAGCTTGATCGGCACTCAGGACTGATAGGGTTTGACTGGGCATAAAGAATTCGAAACTGCAGGTCAAAGTGTTCAACAACTTGACCGGACAGTAGCAGCAAGTTACTGCTGTTCAGCTTCCCGTCAGTCCACGTGAAACTGTTGAAAACAAACCAAGATTCACAATTAAACTCCAGTGCACTTCAACACATAGTAACAGACAGCAAGACTCAGCCTAGAAGCGCCGTGCGTAAGGAAGGCATAGACCTGATCAACTGTTCACTCGCTCCTTCAGGAAAATCTCTGCACAGCCACAGCCAGGTTCTTTGCTAATGCCAAGACATGCAATACAAGTTTCCCAAAGGTGCCTCCTGTTCTGTGTCAGTCCCACTCAGGTAGCCCACTTGATATTTATTAGTAACAGCAAACAGGAGATTGAACACAGTCTTCTTGCAGAACACCCCCCTGCTTTTTTTAGCATAATTACACACTAATGGATTCCAGTACTCGCCTGTAGGAGCCTGTTGTCACTCTCACGCCATCAATCAACATGAATTTTTCATGGACTTTCCCAATAATTTTGGCACCTGATCTCATGTAGTAGATGTTCCCAGTGAGAGTTCGAACCCTCATCAACTGTTTCAGGAAAAAAAGGGAAAAAACTAGCATCAAATTTAAGTTTACGTCCAAAAAGTTTTGATCATTAATTCTGCTTAAAAGCAACAAGATTAATTGTGGAACATAGGAATGAAACAAGCTTCCTCACATTGACCTGCAACTAAAGTCTTACTGGTTCTGTAGTGCTGACTTTCTGTTAGATCATAAAAGGCTGTAGAGAGTTAATCTGGAGAGAATGGGGAGCACCAACTAATGACTGCCCACAGAGCTAGGAGTGCCTCCCATCCAGACAAGCACTCACTTGGGTCAACATAAGCCAGGACATAACACAGTCGTGTCAGCTTACATTCAGAGGAATCAAGTAAGCTACCTGGGTCACATCCTCCAAATCCTGAAGATAAAAGATGTTCCCAATGCCACACCGCCCTTGAGCTTCCTGTCTGCTTTCCTTACAGTTATTTGCCTTGGCAAGCAGTTCCTCGAGCCACAGAATAAAGTTACTTAGATCTTGCAAAATTAAACGCTTGGAAATAGCCACTTCTCCAGCAGGGATCACAGGGATCCACCCAGCACGCCGGGGAGCTGCACAGCATGGCTGTCATTCCTACATGCAGACATGTGAGGTAGAAGGAAGTGTGAAGGTAAACGTGCCTTTTCTGTGTGGTTTTTGATTACGTTGTAAGAAATTTCACCCCTTTGGGTGGAGACCGTACTGAAACCATCACAATGGGCCATAACCTTCAGCACCCTCTTATTTCAGTGTCCAAACAGACAGGGTGCTTTAGACTTTTAGGGAAATCTGAGGATTTGCAGAAAGGGGTCTCTGATGTACAAAACCAAAGCAGAACCACAAGAAGGAAAAACAAAAGCACTTTTAGTACTTACACTCTCCTTCTCAGGACAGACACCCAAGTTTTTGCACATTTCCAAGAAATAAGGTAGAAAGTCCTGGTCAAGAAGGATATAGACAGGGACCTGGCGCTTGCTGTAGGCATTCTGAAGGTCACTGAAGATATCAATATCTGTGAAGGAATCCATAACAAGGGCAATCACCTGTAAAGAGACAGCAAGAGTTCCACAGCTTTAGTTCACACAGGACAGAAGTGGCTCAGAAGGCCTCCTGCACAGCTGAGCATCTACAAACATCCTCTGTTTTCTCCCCAGGCCACCTGATAGAAAGGCAGCACCATCCCTATACAAATGACCAAGACAACAGTCAACTGAATACATCTCCTAAGAGCTGGGAAGAGCACATTCTGGGTTTCCATCCAACACCTTCACAAAAAAACTCACAAGCAGATGCAAATTCGCCGTGAGAGTTCTTTTGAACAGACAAGCCCAAAGATGGAAAGATTCAGTGGGCCACAGACAAAACGTTCTTACATTTGTAAACAGCCTCTCCGTTCAGAGCAACACCACACAGCATTGCCCAGAATCCCAGCCCTTTCAGCCTGGGAACGCACAGCTGCGTGGGTGCAGACACAAAGCTTTGGCTTCGTGACTTACTGCTGTCCCACCAGATGTGCAACAAGAGCTGTTGCTCTCCCCTGCCGTCTCAGCTCTCCTGGCACACACCCCCTGCTGCACAGAGGCCCGGGCACACAGCACAGCTGCTCTGTGTGTGGCACTGCTGGTGCTCACAGGAAGCATTTCCCACAAGAACAGTCTCAGCTCTGCATTCCCACCTGAGCCCTGCTCCTTACAGGGCTGGCTCTAAACAGGCCATTTCTTAGTTACAGAACACAAGGCAGGCTACATTTCTAGAAGAAGTTAGCTTATGCTTGTGCTCCTCTTGTAGTGCCTCTGGTCTTCTCACTCTGCCACTTCTCTAAGTGCCAGAGCAAGATGGAGAAAATTAAGGCACTGTTGATGAGGTGAATAAGAAATTAACCCCTGAAAATAGAACGATTGGAACACAATTCCTTGGAAATACCGCTGCCTTCAAACGGCCGCTCAGTTAGCAGCACATGAGCTCTAATCCCAGTATTAGCAACTGAAAAAGACAGAAAAGCGGTATTCAAACTAAACAAAACAGTTACAGCAGATAGAGAAAACTCTCTTCTCTGTACTGGGCTCTTCCAGATGTGCAGACAAGGCAGCAACTGCACCCACCTCAGTCATAGAGCATCCTAAGCTGGAAGGGATCCTCAAAAATACAGCGCCCAACCCCCAGCTCCACACAGCAGCACCCCAACCCAAATCCTATGGCTGAAAGCGTTGTCCCAGCCCTCCCTGAGCTCCAGCAGCTGGGGGCCGTGCCCACTGCATTCTGGGGTAGAGCCTTTCCCTGATATCTCTGCTGTCACAGCTCCATGCCTTCCCCTCAGCTTCAATTGCTGGTCACCAGAGGTCAGTCCCTCAAGCTGACAGGGAACTCAGCAGCATCTGAAGCTTTCCTACTCCCCACGTTAATCCTAAGGACGCAGACATGACCAAGCAGCACATCAGTCATTAATTTCCAGGGGTCTCTCTGTTTTTTCACCCACAAAAGCACTTCCCAGGCCAGCACCTGGCAGCGAGCAGAACAGCGTGCCTGGCTGCTGCCTTGGCGTAAAGAAGATAACAAAGAACAGCTCTTGGGAAAAACAGCAGTTCGACTGTGCAATTCGATGAATCACCAGAAACCACCGGAGCGGCTCTTCCTGCACAGCAGCCGCCGAGCAAAGCCCGTGCCACCCTCAGTCGCTCACAGCCTCCCCTCGGTGCCACGTGGGAGCGCCGGGCCGGGGCCGCCCCGCCCAGCAGGGAGCCGCGCTTTTCAATTTCAGCGGAGCCGACGGGACCGCGGTGGGAAAGGAGCTGCTGCCGAGCACCGCCGCTACGGGCGCTGTGCTCGATTAATGCAACCGCTCACACGGAACGGTCACCGCTCCGCGGGGCGCTCGGACCGCGCTCTGCATCGGCCCAGAGCCACGTGCAGCCACGGCACGGTGCGCGGCCAGGGGCGGCTCTGCGCTGCGCTTCGGGCCGATTGGGAAGAAAGGAGAGCGCGGGCACGGCGCTACCTCTGCACGTAGCGTCCTTCCGACGAGGCAGGACACAAGAAAAGCTTCCACGAGGAGGCGCCTACGAGCGAGCCTGGCTCGCAAAGCCACGAACCCTCAAGCGGCTCGAACCCGGCCAGCGGCCCCACGGGGCACCGCATCCGCGGAGCGGATCTGCCGCCGCACCGCCTCCTTGCAGCCGTACGGGCTGCCCCCGCCGCCCGGCTGGAAGTGCGCCTCCACCCGCGTCAGCCCGCGGAACGCGCCGCTGCCGAAGCCCGGCCAGCCCAGCTCCAGCGCCGGCGGCTCCGCGTCCGAGCGCTCGGGGAAGTAGGTGAGCGACGACGCGTCCAGGGACGCCTCGGCCGCCGACTCGTCGGCCGCGGCGGGCGGCACGGCGCCCCGCGCGATGGCCTGCACCTCGGGCTCCGACAGGAAGGGCGGCAGCCGCTCCCGCCGCAGGAAGGCGCGCAGCGCCTCGGGGCCGCCCGCCACCAGCTCCTCCAGCGCCAGCCGCCGCGCCTCGCTGTACGACCCGGGCGGGCGCGGCGGCCATTGCCCGGCGCCCTCCTCCAGGCACTGCGACGCGTTGGCGGCCATGGCGCGGGAGGGCGGGCGGCCGCAGGTAGCGCCGTTACGGCGCCTTTATAGCGGGCGGCCGCTCCCCGCCTCCCGCCCGGCCCCGCGCCCTCGCACCGCCGCCGGCCGCCCCCTCCGCAGCGTCCTCTGGGAGCAAACCGGGAATTGAACGGCGAGAGCTGCGGGCTGCGACGCGGGATGTCGGGGTGCCCGGTGTCACGCGAATAAAAGACGACTCACAGAGCTTCAGAGCCTCCCGGCAAAGTGAATTTATTTGTAAACAGCGTACCGCCCCTATCAGTACCAAAACAATCCTACAGTGCAACAACGTTGACGAGTACGCAGAGCAAAGGTTTTCGAGTTCATTTTACAGGCATTCAAACGCTGCCCAACGCCAGCTCTTAAATACAAAGCCTTGTCAGAGAGGCTTTGAGCACTGCTTACTGCTCCCCCAGGGCAGGGGAAAGGAGTGGATGATCTGACAGCCTACAGCAGCAGCCGGGCCTTCACCAACGCAGCCTGAAAAGATGGAAGTGCCACAGCCTATAGGATAAAGCGTGTCTGCCTACACTTCCATTGCAGCCCAGCTGTTTTGGCTGTTTTCCCACTCATTCATTTCTTCTTAGGGAAATGAACTTAACAGCTGAAATGTGCCATCTACTGGACAGATGCTCCCATAAATAAGGAGGAAATACCTTATCCAGATTGGTTTCACTGTAGAATTCATTCTGGTTAGTTACCAACATAATGGTATACAGGTATAAAGCAGCACAGGTCAGACCTCAGAGAGGTGATCCATCAAGCACAAACACACATGCACCTGCTGCAGACATTCAGGCAGTGTCTCTGCAAAGTGACTTAACCCACAAACCATGTAGTGTTGAAGGTATTTTCATAAGCTCTAGTGGCTCTCTGGTTCCCCAAACCATTATCAGTGGATAAAATACAGACAGAGCAGGAAATACAGAATAAATTCTGAAAGCGCAGTTTAAAGAGAGAAAAAATTATTTGTAAAATAATCGTGGCAAACAACCTATAATATTTTTGTACTTTATTTGAGCAGAGCCTTTGTCATGTGTCCTTGGGGATCATCTCACCTCCAGCCTGACTCCAAGGCAAGCAGGCACTTACAGGTCTCCTACCAGAACTAAGACACACATCCCAGTTCCGGCTGAGACAGTTCATTTTCTTCTTAGCATCTGACATGAAGCTACCTTTAGATTTAAGAGAAAAAACTGTTGGTAACACAGTTATGTTATCGTTGTTACATGCACACCTTACATATGGCCATGTAAAGGCATACGAGGACAATCAAATTGAAGACCTAGTTTAGATCAGAACCCACAGCTGTTCCAACAGACCTTTCCCAGCTTCAGAGATAAAACACATTTTACTTCTCTACTGGAATGAGAATGAAGTTATTTTCCCTCATTCTGAACATGTAGTGGAAATAAAACTTATTATTAAAAAGGGGAAATAAATGTTAATATTACCATTCTGAGCAAGATCTGACTCAAATTTCTCCAAGCTTAGAGAACTTAAAGCCAGAGCGTTAGCAATCCTAAAAACAAAACTTAAATGCTTTCTAAGTCAAATATTCAGAAGTACAATAAACCTATACCACCAATGTGTATAAGGGAAACATGCAAGTGGTTTCAGTACATGTGAAAAATCTCACTGACTAAATTGCACGGTAGAAAACAAAGTGCTGGAAAGTGATGTGTGCATGTATTAAAGAAGAGTAAAAGTACTAGAAGGAAATACAAGAATCAGCAGATGTAAAGTGATTGCATTTTGTGACCAGAGCTTTCAAGCTCTGCATTCAGTGCAGCATTTATTCAGACAAGAGTGAAACATCTCAGAGGCTGTGCAGGCTGGCACTGATGTCTCACCTCTACTTCAGGTTGTACCTTCCCCTGCAGTGGTTCATGTAGCTTTCAGGAACATGTCTTCTCCGGGACAAGATACCCACCATGTGGCTAAGCTTTGATCTGATGGTGGAGTAGTGGAATTGCCTCTCCGTGTGCAGTTTTTGGAAATACTCTGCCCTGTGAATGCTAGGGTATTCAAAGGACCGAAGAGAAGACAGCGAGTTGGTGGAGCTCGTACGAGACAGGTGGGATGATGGTGAAGATAGTGACCGCAGGCTAGAATTTGATGAAGACTTTCCAGGTAGAAAGGATTCTTCTTTGGAAAACTTCCTGTAAAGCAGAGGGGTTTCCACATACGCATCTTCCCTTGTCTGCATCACTGCAGCCTTCAGCAAAACTGAAGTCTGAGTCCCAGTCGTTCTTGTAGCAGTTGAAGTTTGCGTGTCAGCTTCTTCTGTTAAAACATTGGTCTGCATGCCAACATTACACACGGCCACTGCAGGCTGCTCTTCCCATAAGCCAGTTTGAGTTGATGCGTTCTTCTGTCCCACTATGGCCTCTGGATCGCTGAGCCACTCCTCTTCACTGAAGTGAGAATGTCCCAGGTCACCAGGTTTGCCTCCTGGAGTGTCTTCAGCCACATCTAGTTCTTGTAACAGTTTTTTTGGAGTACTAGACAGCCTGGCAAATTCTGCCCTCAAATTGCTCTCCACAGTGTATTCTTTAGAGGACTCTATTCTTTTCTCCACGTGGTCAAATATTCCACTGTTCCTACAGCTTGATCGGCACTCAGGACTGATAGGGTTTGACTGGGCATAAAGAATTCGAAACTGCAGGTCAAAGTGTTCAACAACTTGACCGGACAGTAGCAGCAAGTTACTGCTGTTCAGCTTCCCGTCAGTCCACGTGAAACTGTTGAAAACAAACCAAGATTCACAATTAAACTCCAGTGCACTTCAACACATAGTAACAGACAGCAAGACTCAGCCTAGAAGCGCCGTGCGTAAGGAAGGCATAGACCTGATCAACTGTTCACTCGCTCCTTCAGGAAAATCTCTGCACAGCCACAGCCAGGTTCTTTGCTAATGCCAAGACATGCAATACAAGTTTCCCAAAGGTGCCTCCTGTTCTGTGTCAGTCCCACTCAGGTAGCCCACTTGATATTTATTAGTAACAGCAAACAGGAGATTGAACACAGTCTTCTTGCAGAACACCCCCCTGCTTTTTTTAGCATAATTACACACTAATGGATTCCAGTACTCGCCTGTAGGAGCCTGTTGTCACTCTCACGCCATCAATCAACATGAATTTTTCATGGACTTTCCCAATAATTTTGGCACCTGATCTCATGTAGTAGATGTTCCCAGTGAGAGTTCGAACCCTCATCAACTGTTTCAGGAAAGAAAGGGAAAAAACTAGCATCAAATTTAAGTTTACGTCCAAAAAGTTTTGATCATTAATTCTGCTTAAAAGCAACAAGATTAATTGTGGAACATAGGAATGAAACAAGCTTCCTCAAATTGACCTGCAACTAAAGTCTTACTGGTTCTGTAGTGCTGACTTTCTGTTAGATCATAAAAGGCTGTAGAGAGTTAATCTGGAGAGAATGGGGAGCACCAACTAATGACTGCCCACAGAGCTAGGAGTGCCTCCCATCCAGACAAGCACTCACTTGGGTCAACATAAGCCAGGACATAACACAGTCGTGTCAGCTTACATTCAGAGGAATCAAGTAAGCTACCTGGGTCACATCCTCCAAATCCTGAAGATAAAAGATGTTCCCAATGCCACACCGCCCTTGAGCTTCCTGTCTGCTTTCCTTACAGTTATTTGCCTTGGCAAGCAGTTCCTCGAGCCACAGAATAAAGTTACTTAGATCTTGCAAAATTAAACGCTTGGAAATAGCCACTTCTCCAGCAGGGATCACAGGGATCCACCCAGCACGCCGGGGAGCTGCACAGCATGGCTGTCATTCCTACATGCAGACATGTGAGGTAGAAGGAAGTGTGAAGGTAAACGTGCCTTTTCTGTGTGGTTTTTGATTACGTTGTAAGAAATTTCACCCCTTTGGGTGGAGACCGTACTGAAACCATCACAATGGGCCATAACCTTCAGCACCCTCTTATTTCAGTGTCCAAACAGACAGGGTGCTTTAGACTTTTAGGGAAATCTGAGGATTTGCAGAAAGGGGTCTCTGATGTACAAAACCAAAGCAGAACCACAAGAAGGAAAAACAAAAGCACTTTTAGTACTTACACTCTCCTTCTCAGGACAGACACCCAAGTTTTTGCACATTTCCAAGAAATAAGGTAGAAAGTCCTGGTCAAGAAGGATATAGACAGGGACCTGGCGCTTGCTGTAGGCATTCTGAAGGTCACTGAAGATATCAATATCTGTGAAGGAATCCATAACAAGGGCAATCACCTGTAAAGAGACAGCAAGAGTTCCACAGCTTTAGTTCACACAGGACAGAAGTGGCTCAGAAGGCCTCCTGCACAGCTGAGCATCTACAAACATCCTCTGTTTTCTCCCCAGGCCACCTGATAGAAAGGCAGCACCATCCCTATACAAATGACCAAGACAACAGTCAACTGGATACATCTCCTAAGAGCTGGGAAGAGCACATTCTGGGTTTCCATCCAACACCTTCACAAAAAAACTCACAAGCAGATGCAAATTCGCCGTGAGAGTTCTTTTGAACAGACAAGCCCAAAGATGGAAAGATTCAGTGGGCCACAGACAAAACGTTCTTACATTTGTAAACAGCCTCTCCGTTCAGAGCAACACCACACAGCATTGCCCAGAATCCCAGCCCTTTCAACCTGGGAACGCACAGCTGCGTGGGTGCAGACACAAAGCTTTGGCTTCGTGACTTACTGCTGTCCCACCAGATGTGCAACAAGAGCTGTTGCTCTCACCTGCCGTCTCAGCTCTCCTGGCACACACCCCCTGCTGCACAGAGGCCCGGGCACACAGCACAGCTGCTCTGTGTGTGGCACTGCTGGTGCTCACAGGAAGCATTTCCCACAAGAACAGTCTCAGCTCTGCATTCCCACCTGAGCCCTGCTCCTTACAGGGCTGGCTCTAAACAGGCCATTTCTTAGTTACAGAACACAAGGCAGGCTACATTTCTAGAAGAAGTTAGCTTATGCTTGTGCTCCTCTTGTAGTGCCTCTGGTCTTCTCACTCTGCCACTTCTCTGAGTGCCAGAGCAAGATGGAGAAAATTAAGGCACTGTTGATGAGGTGAATAAGAAATTAACCCCTGAAAATAGAACGATTGGAACACAATTCCTTGGAAATACCGCTGCCTTCAAACGGCCGCCCAGTTAGCAGCACATGAGCTCTAATCCCAGTATTAGCAACTGAAAAAGACAGAAAAGCGGTATTCAAACTAAACAAAACAGTTACAGCAGATAGAGAAAACTCTCTTCTCTGTACTGGGCTCTTCCAGATGTGCAGACAAGGCAGCAACTGCACCCACCTCAGTCATAGAGCATCCTAAGCTGGATGGGATCCTCAAAAATACAGCGCCCAACCCCCAGCTCCACACAGCAGCACCCCAACCCAAATCCTATGGCTGAAAGCGTTGTCCCAGCCCTCCCTGAGCTCCAGCAGCTGGGGGCCGTGCCCACTGCATTCTGGGGCAGAGCCTTTCCCTGATATCTCTGCTGTCACAGCTCCATGCCTTCCCCTCAGCTTCAATTGCTGGTCACCAGAGGTCAGTCCCTCAAGCTGACAGGGAACTCAGCAGCATCTGAAGCTTTCCTACTCCCCACGTTAATCCTAAGGATGCAGACATGACCAAGCAGCACATCAGTCATTAATTTCCAGGGGTCTCTCTGTTTTTTCACCCACAAAAGCACTTCCCAGGTGTCACGGAGTTGACCAGATCAATCTATGTCCGTGACAGGGGCGGCAGGCCTCTGCCCTCCCCCCCCACCCCAGTCCCACAAAATGGGAAGGAAGGAAGGGAGGAAAAGAGCAGCGGCAACAATCTATGGAGGAAAACTTATTTTACTATAATATTGGAATACAAGATAACACAATATGTACAATTTAATTGAAATTGAGATTAATAAATCAGACAAGATGAGAGAGAGAGAGAGTTCCCGGGACCGATTCAAACCTGAAAAGCTTGGAACGGCCAGGAAAGCACCTCCAGCACCCCTGCAAGGCAGCAAGAGAGCGCCCCCCCCACCCGGAAGGGCCAGATCCCGTGACTGCTGTCATGTACAGGGATAGGTACTGGGATTGGGGCAGTGACACTTTAATGCCCCGTACACTACATGATGTTTTGATGTGGAATACTGATACCATAAAAAAAAAACACCAAAAACCAAAAAACAAAAAACAAAAACATAGAACCATGACATTCCACCCCTTATTCTACATCGTTACATCATGCTTAGAATATATATATATATATACATATATACAAACAAACAAAAAAAATGATTAAAATGCACACATGGCTATATACATATACATAGAATTAGTAACTGCACTCCCCTGGCATCAAGTTTCCTTGTGGTACACATTGAACATCCCCATTCTTCTGCATTACCCACCAAGTGGATCCTGGTCCCTGGGCAAAAACTGTACCACGGAGAGGTTTGCCCTTTCCAGAAGCTGGAAGAACCCAAACTGCCTTTCCTAACATGTTCTTTACATGTACAACAGGGACTTTATCTCCCTCTACGGTATGTAGGGAACTGGATTGGTTAGGACCATCACGATTGATAGATCCTCTGGTATTGACTAACCAGGTGGCTTCTGCCAAGTGCTTCTCCCAGTGCTTAAATGTTCCGCCACCCAGTGCTTTTAGCATCGTTTTTAACAATCCATTGTATCGTTCAATTTTACCAGAGGCTGGTGCATGGTAGGGAATATGGTAAATCCACTCGATGCCATGATCTTTGGCCCCAGTATTTACAAGAGAATTTTTGAAATGAGTCCTATTATCTGACTCAATCCTTTCTGGGGTGCCATGTCGCCACAGGACTTGTTTCTCGAGACCCAGTATGGTGTTTCGGGCGGTAGCATGGGGTACTGCATATGTTTCAAGCCACCCAGTGGTTGCCTCCACCATAGTAAGCACATAATGCTTACCATTGCGAGATCGTGGCAAGGTGATAGAATCAACCTGCCATGCCTCCCCATATTTGTACTTTTGCCATCGCCCTTCCTCCCACAGAGGTTTCATCCTCTTGGCTTGTTTGATGATGGCACATGTTTCACAGTTATGAATAACCTGTGCAATGGCATCCATAGTTAAGTCCACCCCTCGGTCTCTGGCCCATTTGTATGTTGCATCTCTCCCTTGATGACCTGAGGTCTCATGGGCCCACCGAGCCAGAAATAATTCACCCTTGTTCTGCCAGTCCAGGTCTATTTGAGCCACCTCAATTCTGGCAGCTCGGTCTACCTGATGGTTATTTTGCTGTTCTTCAGTAGCCCGACTCTTGGGCACATGAGCATCTACATGACGCACCTTTACAACTATAGTCTTTGTTCGGGCAGCTATGTCTTTCCACAGTTCAGCAGCCCAAATAGGTTTACCCCTTCTTTGCCAGTTATTTTGCTCCCACTGCTGTAACCACCCCCATAAGGCATTTGCCACCATCCATAAGTCAGTGTAAAGATAGAGCATTGGCCATCTCTCCCGTTCAGCAATATCTAAGGCCAGTTGGACAGCCTTTACCTCTGCAAATTGGCTTGATTCTCCTTTCCCTTCAGTGGCTTCTGCAACTTGTTGTGTGGGGCTCCACACAGCAGATTTCCATCTGCGATGCTTTCCCACAATACGACACGACCCATCTGTGAACAGGGCATATTTCTTTTCATTCTCTGGTAGTTCATTGTATGGTGGGGCTTCTTTAGCACGTCATACTTCCTCTGCTGGTGGTGTTCCAAACTTTTTACCTTCAGGCCAGTCCATGATGACCTCTAGGATTCCTGGACGGCTGAGGTTCCCCATCTGTGCTCGTTGTGTAATCAGTGCAATCCACTTACTCCAAGTGGCATCAGTAGCATGATGGGTGGAGGGAACCTTTCCTTTAAACATCCAGTTCAGCACTGGCAGTCGAGGTGCCAGAAGAAGCTGTGTTTCAGTACCAACTACTTCGGAAGCAGCCCGAACCCCCTCATATGCAGCTAAGATCTCCTTCTCAGTTGGAGTGTAGTGCTCTTCAGACCCTCTGTACGCCCGACTCCAGAATCCCAGGGGTCGGCCTCGGGTCTCTCCCGAGGCTCTTTGCCACAGACTCCAAGTGGGACCGTTCTCTCCAGCAGCGGTATAGAGGATGTTCTTTATACCCTGTCCCGTCCGTACTGGCCCTAGGGCCACGGCACGGGCTGTCTCCTGTTTAATCTGTTCAAAAGCCTGCTGCTGCTCAGGGCCCCATGTAAACTCATTTCTCATTCGTGTCACATGATAAAGGGGGCTTACAATGAGGCTGTAGTTTGGAACATGCATTCTCCAAAAGCCCACTGCACCCAGAAAAGATTGTGTCTCTCTTTTGCTAGTGGGTGGAGACATGGCAGTGATTTTGTTGATCACATCTGTCGGGATGTGACGACGGCCATCTTGCCACTTTATGCCTAGGAACTGAATCTCCTGGGCAGGTCCTTTCACTTTGCTTCGCTTAATAGCAAAACCAGCACTCAGAAGAATTTGGATCGTTCGCTCTCCTTTTGTAAAGACTTCTTCTGCTGTATCGCCCCACACAATGATGTCATCAATGTACTGCAGGTGCTCAGGAGCACTGCCCTGTTCCAATACAGTTTGGATCAGCCCATGGCAAATGGTCGGGCTGTGTTTCCACCCCTGGGGCAAACGGTTCCAGGTATACTGAATACCCCTCCAGGTGAAAGCAAACTGTGGCTTACATTCTTTGGCCAAAGGAATGGAAAAGAAGGCATTGGCAATGTCAATGGTGGCATACCATTTGGCTGCTTTTGACTCCAGTTCATACTGGAGTTCTAACATGTCCGGCACAGCAGCACTCAGAGGGGGTGTGACTTCATTCAGGCCACGGTAGTCCACCGTCAGCCTCCATTCTCCACTGGCTTTACGCACTGGCCATATGGGGCTGTTAAAAGGCGAGTGAGTTTTGCTGATCACTCCCTGGCTCTCTAGTTGACGAATTAACTTATGAATGGGGAGCAAAGAATCCCTGTTGGTGCGGTACTGCCGCCTGTGCACCGTTTTTGTAGCAATCGGTACCTGTTGCTCTTTTACTCGCAGCAGCCCCACAACAGATGGATCTTCTGACAGGCCAGGCAAAACAGACAGTTGCTTAATGTTGTCTGTGTCCACAGCAGCTATTCCAAAGGCCCATCGATACCCCTTAGGGTCCTTGAAATGCCCCCTTCTGAGATAATCAATACCTAGTATACATGGAGCCCCTGGGCCCGTCACAATAGGATGTTTTTGCCAGTCCTTACCAGTGAGGCTTATCTCAGCCTCCAACACAGTCAATTCTTGAGAGCCCCCGGTCACTCCAGAAATATGGATTAATTCTGTCCCTTGGTGACCAGAGGGCATCAGAGTGCACTGTGCACCAGTGTCCACCAGTGCCTTATATTTCAGTGGTTCTGATGTGCCAGGCCATCGAATCCACACAGTCCAATATACTCTATTATCCCTTTCCCCCTCCTGACTGAGGGCAGGGCCCCCCTATTCATTACCTGTGGTAACTGGAGCAACTGCACTGGTGGTTGATCTGCTTTGTAATTCTTTCACCCGGGCTCGTAGTACAGGAGTAGGCTGACCGTGCCACTTCCCCATGTCTTCTCCATGGTCACGTAGGTAATACCATAAGGCAATTCGCGGTGTACTACCCCTTACTTGAGCCGGAGAGCGTTTGCTTCTAACAGCTGAGATCTTTGATGGTGCACGTGAGAAGGAAGGTTCTTCGTCTTTAGTTAGGTGGGCTCGCAAAAATTTCACCGTCTCCTTCACCTCCTTCATCTCCTTCATTAGACTCATTTGATTATCCTGATCTTCATCAAGCGTTTCTGATACTGCTACAGGTTTGTCGCGGTTAATCAGTTGAGACACTTGCTCCGTCATCATTTTTGATATCGCAGCAACGGCAGCATGAATTGGGGACAGCAATTGTTCGTAGTTTTGGAGCGTAACAATTAATTCATAAACTAAAGGCGTTCTCTGTTGTTCGTTGAATCTGTCACACGCTGACATCAGTGTAGAGGCATATTTGTCCGGCGCTGTTGTCACGATTTTCTGCCATATCTCAGGCGTTGTCCTCACTCTTTCAGGGTCGCGGTTTTGGTGTGGGTCGTTAGGAACAAAGTCAGGGTCATACAACATTTCCACCACGCCTATTTCCCTCAAATACTGGATACCCTTTTCAACTGTATCCCATTTTTTCATTGCAATCTTCAAGCCATTTTTGAAGGGATACTTTTCCTTCACGGCTGTTAACACTCGTTCCTAGAGGGAGGCAGCCTCATCCGAACATCGACTAATTCCTCTATCAATAGCTGGATCTCTGGCAATGGCGCCTAGTTGGCGAGCTTCATTACCATCCAGAGACAAGCTATGGGCCCCACTGTCCCAACAGCGAACCAACCAGGAAACAAGAGTTTCATTCGGGCGCCGTGTGAACTCCTTTCTTGAACCTTGGATTTCAGTCATCTTTAGAGGCCGGCGAGTAGTAATAGAGACTTCCTCTTCATCACTCTCTTCTGCACGTCTCTTAGTTTTCCCTTTTGCCTTTCGCGATGGTGGTGGTGCTGAGGAGGGCCCCTCGCCTGGATCTTCCTCCACCTCCTCCTCCTCTTCTTCTCTTTTTCGTTCAAGACGCGAAGACACTCGTTTCCATTTCTTGCCCTCCACAGGAGCAACTGGTATTGTTACTGGTGTCTCCTGTGATCGATTAGATTTGACTTGCGGATTTTCCCCTTTAGCTTAAACCTCAGCCCGGAAACTCTCTCTCTCCAGAATGGTGTTATATAGAGCACGGTAAGCACAAGCCAAACCCCAAATAAGTTGTACCTGCTTAGATTTATGTAAGCTGCATAGTCCCTGACTCAAATACTGGCTTAGTTTCTCAGGATCCCACAGGTGTTCAAGGGTAAAATCCCATGACACTGCAGGTCCCCATGCTTCTAAGACCTTTCCTAAACCTCTCCATATTCCCTGCCAATCATCATTCTCTAGTTTTGGAGAAGACTCCTTATTACAAATGCGTATCACAAATGCATTCAGGAGAATTGATGACACGCACACCAACATGAGTATTAATTCAAGATTTGAAAAACGTTTAACAAATCGAAAAGAAAACCCGGAGACTGGTCTGAACATCGTGTTGTTTGTAAAATTAGCTATTCCATTTGGGATGTAACTGTTTGTGAAATTAGCCATTCCATTTGGGATGTAGTTGTTTGTGAAATTAGCCATTCCTTCCGGGATGTAAATGTCAAAATTCAAATCATACCACATTGCAAGTAGATGAAACATAGGTGTCTCCATCAGTGCCATTAGGTACCTAAATACGGTTGCAATTCCAACACACGTAAGTGCAAGGTGGATTATTGGCCAGTAGGTTGTGAGTAACACCATTGCTTTAAATCCTTTACACAGCACCCCCACGATAACAAGTGGGTTCATCAGAGGTGCCTGCTAAAAAGGGGTTAATGAATTGAAGCTAACAAGAGCAGGGAAAAAAAAAAAAAAGGAAAAAAAGGCACTACCCAGACTAAGTAGTGCTCAAGGTTTACAAATATCCCAGAACACTGGCAGTACGCCTAATCTTTCAAGGTCAGGTTTTCCAGCACAGAAACCTGAACTACTGATAATGCTCCCTAACGAAGCTCTCTAAGAGCAGAGAGAAAATGAGATTCGTTCTAACAGCTAAAAAGCAGCTCGAGCCCCACGTTGGGTGCCAAAATCTGTCACGGAGTTGATCAGATCAATCTATGTCCGTGACAGGGGCGGCAGGCCTCTGCCCTCCCCCCCCACCCCAGTCCCACAAAGATGGGAAGGAAGGAAGGGAGGAAAAGAGCAGCAGCAACAACCTATGGAGGAAAACTTATTTTACTATAATATTGGAATACAAGATAACACAATATGTACAATTTAATTGAAATTGAGATTAATAAATCAGACAAGATGAGAGAGAGAGAGAGTTCCCGGGACCGATTCAAACCTGAAAAGCTTGGAACGGCCAGGAAAGCACCTCCAGCACCCCTGCAAGGCAGGAAGAGAGCGCCCCCCCCACCCGGAAGGGCCAGATCCCGTGACTGCTGTCATGTACAGGGATAGGCACTTGGAATTGGGGCAGTGACACTTTAATGCCCCGTACACTACATGATGTTTTGATGTGGAATACTGAAACCCAAAATAAAACAAACAAACAAACAAACATAGAACCATGACACTGCTTAAAAGCAACAAGATTAATTGTGGAACATAGGAATGAAACAAGCTTCCTCAAATTGACCTGCAACTAAAGTCTTACTGGTTCTGTAGTGCTAACTTTCTGTTAGATCATAAAAGGCTGTAGAGAGTTAATCTGGAGAGAATGGGGAGCACCAACTAATGACTGCCCACAGAGCTAGGAGTGCCTCCCATCCAGACAAGCACTCACTTGGGTCAACATAAGCCAGGACATAACACAGTCGTGTCAGCTTACATTCAGAGGAATCAAGTAAGCTACCTGGGTCCGCTGGGGCCGCCCGCCACCAGCTCCTCCAGCGCCAGCCGCCGCGCCTCGCTGTACGACCCGGGCGGGCGCGGCGGCCATTGCCCGGCGCCCTCCTCCAGGCACTGCGACGCGTTGGCGGCCATGGCGCGGGAGGGCGGGCGGCCGCAGGTAGCGCCGTTACGGCGCCTTTATAGCGGGCGGCCGCTCCCCGCCTCCCGCCCGGCCCCGCGCCCTCGCACCGCCGCCGGCCGCCCCCTCCGCAGCGTCCTCTGGGAGCAAACCGGGAATTGAACGGCGAGAGCTGCGGGCTGCGACGCGGGATGTCGGGGTGCCCGGTGTCACGCGAATAAAAGACGACTCACAGAGCTTCAGAGCCTCCCGGCAAAGTGAATTTATTTGTAAACAGCGTACCGCCCCTATCAGTACCAAAACAATCCTACAGTGCAACAACGTTGACGAGTACGCAGAGCAAAGGTTTTCGAGTTCATTTTACAGGCATTCAAACGCTGCCCAACGCCAGCTCTTAAATACAAAGCCTTGTCAGAGAGGCTTTGAGCACTGCTTACTGCTCCCCCAGGGCAGGGGAAAGGAGTGGATGATCTGACAGCCTACAGCAGCAGCCGGGCCTTCACCAACGCAGCCTGAAAAGATGGAAGTGCCACAGCCTATAGGATAAAGCGTGTCTGCCTACACTTCCATTGCAGCCCAGCTGTTTTGGCTGTTTTCCCACTCATTCATTTCTTCTTAGGGAAATGAACTTAACAGCTGAAATGTGCCATCTACTGGACAGATGCTCCCATAAATAAGGAGGAAATACCTTATCCAGATTGGTTTCACTGTAGAATTCATTCTGGTTAGTTACCAACATAATGGTATACAGGTATAAAGCAGCACAGGTCAGACCTCAGAGAGGTGATCCATCAAGCACAAACACACATGCACCTGCTGCAGACATTCAGGCAGTGTCTCTGCAAAGTGACTTAACCCACAAACCATGTAGTGTTGAAGGTATTTTCATAAGCTCTAGTGGCTCTCTGGTTCCCCAAACCATTATCAGTGGATAAAATACAGACAGAGCAGGAAATACAGAATAAATTCTGAAAGCGCAGTTTAAAGAGAGAAAAAATTATTTGTAAAATAATCGTGGCAAACAACCTATAATATTTTTGTACTTTATTTGAGCAGAGCCTTTGTCATGTGTCCTTGGGGATCATCTCACCTCCAGCCCGACTCCAAGGCAAGCAGGCACTTACAGGTCTCCTACCAGAACTAAGACACACATCCCAGTTCCGGCTGAGACAGTTCATTTTCTTCTTAGCATCTGACATGAAGCTACCTTTAGATTTAAGAGAAAAAACTGTTGGTAACACAGTTATGTTATCGTTGTTACATGCACACCTTACATATGGCCATGTAAAGGCATACGAGGACAATCAAATTGAAGACCTAGTTTAGATCAGAACCCACAGCTGTTCCAACAGACCTTTCCCAGCTTCAGAGATAAAACACATTTTACTTCTCTACTGGAATGAGAATGAAGTTATTTTCCCTCATTCTGAACATGTAGTGGAAATAAAACCTATTATTAAAAAGGGGAAATAAATGTTAATATTACCATTCTGAGCAAGATCTGACTCAAATTTCTCCAAGCTTAGAGAACTTAAAGCCAGAGCGTTAGCAATCCTAAAAACAAAACTTAAATGCTTTCTAAGTCAAATATTCAGAAGTACAATAAACCTATACCACCAATGTGTATAAGGGAAACATGCAAGTGGTTTCAGTACATGTGAAAAATCTCACTGACTAAATTGCACGGTAGAAAACAAAGTGCTGGAAAGTGATGTGTGCATGTATTAAAGAAGAGTAAAAGTACTAGAAGGAAATACAAGAATCAGCAGATGTAAAGTGATTGCATTTTGTGACCAGAGCTTTCAAGCTCTGCATTCAGTGCAGCATTTATTCAGACAAGAGTGAAACATCTCAGAGGCTGTGCAGGCTGGCACTGATGTCTCACCTCTACTTCAGGTTGTACCTTCCCCTGCAGTGGTTCATGTAGCTTTCAGGAACATGTCTTCTCCGGGACAAGATACCCACCATGTGGCTAAGCTTTGATCTGATGGTGGAGTAGTGGAATTGCCTCTCCGTGTGCAGTTTTTGGAAATACTCTGCCCTGTGAATGCTAGGGTATTCAAAGGACCGAAGAGAAGACAGCGAGTTGGTGGAGCTCGTACGAGACAGGTGGGATGATGGTGAAGATAGTGACCGCAGGCTAGAATTTGATGAAGACTTTCCAGGTAGAAAGGATTCTTCTTTGGAAAACTTCCTGTAAAGCAGAGGGGTTTCCACAAACGCATCTTCCCTTGTCTGCATCACTGCAGCCTTCAGCAAAACTGAAGTCTGAGTC